GGACAACCTGCAGATGCTCACACCGGTACAGCCTCCGTCCAGGTCCCCCAGGCCCCAACCCCACTCGCGAGTCCCCTCCCCCACCCGCCCTGTCAGGCTGACTTCGCCCCATTGCGGCCTGGGCTGACGGGACTCTTCATCTCGCCTTCCAGCAACTCAACGCCATCATTGCTGCCTCTGCCTCTGTCAAGTCCTCCCAGAAGCTGAAGCAGATGTTGGAGGTGGGGAGGGGTTGCGAACACCCGCACAGGCCCGTCGGCCAGGGTGGAGGGAGGAGCCTGCAGGGCCTGGCCTGACCTCCTCCCCTACATCTCTTGGACAGATCATACTTGCCCTGGGGAACTATATGAACAGCAGCAAGCGAGGTGCTGTGTACGGCTTCAAGCTCCAGAGCCTGGATCTGGTAAGACGGCAGGAGCAACTCTGGGGCCAGGAAGCCTGAGGAGCTGTGGCGTTCGGCCCTCTCTCTCACCACCCCCACCCCTTTCCCAGCTGCTGGACACCAAGTCCACTGACAGGAAGATGACACTGCTGCATTTCATCGCCTTGACGGTGAAAGAGAAGTATCCAGACCTGGCCAACTTCTGGCATGAGCTACACTTCGTGGAGAAGGCCGCGGCAGGTGAGGGAACCCTGGCCCGGCCACCCTGCCTGCGTGTCTAGCCCAGGACAATCCCAGGAAGCTCAGGAGAGGGAACACTTGGGTCCCTTCGGTTCTGGCTTTCGTTGTCTCCTTTCTGACCCCTGAGCTTTCCGCTGGGGCCATGGGTAGGGGCCACCCCAGAAGGAGTCTTCCTGCAGGCCCCCGCGTGGCCCAGGCAGAGGGACAGAAGCAGGTCTCTGCTCCTAACTCCCCCGGGCTGGCCCTGGACACTCTGTTTCTCTGTGATGTGTGAAGGGCTTAGAAAAACCATAAGGTCCCCACAGACTTAAGGCAGCTGATATTTCTGCCCCATGCCTGAGGGAGCTCCGTTTTGGAGACCAGCAGACTCTCTGGCTTACCTTCTTGTGCTCTTGCCCTTGGGGTCATGAGCTCACAGCCCCCATTCCTTTCCCTTACCTCTGTGCAAGCCCCGTTAGCTGGGTCTATGGTTCTTAGCTGGGTCTATGGTTCTCGGTGGCCACCGGGTGGCTCAGGAAGCAGGGGCATGAGAACCCGAGGCTGCCGCCAAGCAGGCCTCAGCCCAGGCTCTGGTGACCACAGTGTCCCTGGAGAACGTGCTGCTAGACGTGAAGGAGCTGGGCCGGGGCATGGAGTTGATTCGGCGGGAATGCGGCATCCACGACAACAGCGTCCTTCGGAACTTCCTCAGCACTAACGAAGGCAAACTGGACAAGCTCCAGCGTGACGCCAAGACGGCTGAGGTGGGCGAAGGGTGGAGGCAGGCGAACAGCCGGGGCCAAGGCCTTGTGCCCCTCCAGATGGGCTTTGTTCTGCTTCTTGGACCAAAGAACAACTTTTTTTTTTTTTAAAGATTTATTTATTTGGGACAGACAGAGGGGGCAAGTGCATGCAGGGAGGAGGGGCAGAGGGAGAGGGGGAGAGAGTCTTAAGTACCCTGAGATCACGCTCTGAATGTGACGGTCTGTGCCACCCAGGTGCCCCTGGACCGAAGAACATTTCTCATGTGGTTGACCGGCTGCATGTCGGGGAGAGGGGATTTGAGGGTGGCCAGCAGCCACGTCTGGGGACATACTCAATGGACCTTGGGGAGCCCCAGGTTCTTTTCCCTCCCACAGGGGCTGGGGGCTGCTGGCTTTCCTCCTTTGGCCCCAAGCACTGTATTCTGTGGGCCTCCTGTCCCTGCTGGAGAGCCAGGCTTGTCCTGCTCTGCCAGACTGACCCCCTTCTGTCCACCCCTTCCCCAGGAGGCCTATAATGCGGTTGTGCGCTACTTCGGCGAGAGTCCCAAGACCACACCCCCTTCTGTATTCTTCCCAGTGTTCGTCCGATTCATTCGTTCTTACAAGGTGAGCGGAATAGAGGCTTTTACAAAGGAATCTAGCTGAGAGAAAACTGGTAGGGGGAGGGAGGGCTGGGCTCCAAGTCTGGGCCTTTTCTGTCTCCTCCTTGGAGTCCTGGGAGGGAGCAATGGAAGCTGGCCACAGGCCTCTCAGCTGTGAACTGGTGGGCAGGGTGGGGGCCCAGGCCCTTCCTGTCATTGTTTGGGGCAGGAAGTGCCCCTCCAGAGGGTGGCCACCTGGGGTTGCTGGTCCCACTGCCACCCATTCTCCACCCTCGGTGGCAGCCCCGCCCCTCACAGCCTGTGTGAGCCTCACCGCCCCCCCCCCCCCACGGTTCTTAGGAAGCAGAACAAGAGAACGAAGCTAGAAAGAAGCAGGAGGAGGTAATGCGGGAGAAGCAGCTGGCTCAGGAAGCCAAGAAACTGGATGCCAAGGTGGGTGGGACCAAGAGCTGGGGCCTGGAGGAGAGGATTAGGAGGGGGTGGAGGGAGAACTAGAGAGATGGAAAACTGGAGCCCAGAGACCACCCAAAGGGCCTGAGACTGGAGTCCGAAGCGATGGGGAGAGGGGCTTTGGGAAGGGGTTCCCGGGCAGTGATCGGGGATGGGCTGCTGTGTACAACCAAGGGCATCCTCAGACTGCATCTTGGGGCAGGAACCAGCCATGGTAGGTAGGGATGACTCCCCTCCCCTTCAATGCTTGGCCCTAGACCCCATCTCAGCGGAACAAGTGGCAACAGCAGGAGCTAATTGCAGAGCTGAGGAGGCGCCAGGCCAAGGAGCATCGGCCTGTTTACGAGGGGAAGGATGGTACCATTGAGGACATCATTACAGGTGGGGCCCTCGTCCCTCCCTCGGGCTTGGCCACTGGGCCTGGCTCCCCAACTCCAACCTCACCCCTTTGGGCCCTCCTCCCACCCCAACCCCACGAGGCCTGACCGCTGTGTCTCTTTCCTGGGCCACAGTGTTGAAGAGTGTCCCTTTCACGGCCCGTACTGCCAAGCGGGGCTCACGCTTCTTCTGCGATGCAGCCCACCATGATGAGTCAAACTGTTAACCCCCAAGGCTGGGGCTCTTGACAGGTACCGGGCACCACAGCTGCCCTCTCTGCATGCCCACCTCCCCGGGCTCCTCCTGGGCCCGCAGGTACCTCCTCCCCTGCATGACTTGGAACCATCCTCTGGCAGCCTCACGGTGATGGGGGCACATACTTCTCCATTTGCATGCCCAGTGCTCTGAGAAGCATGGCTTGTCCCCTTGCATGTGCCTTTGGGGAAGTGGTGTCTCCCACTAATGCTGTCCTGGCTTCTACTAAGCCCCGAGGGGTAGGGAGCTTCCACAGCGGGCAGGACCTGGACACCACCTCTCCCTGCTGAGGCCGAGGCTCCCTCCATTCCCAGGCCTGGGTATCTTTTGTGACTTGTGCCACCCCCCCCCCACCCCCGCCATTAAGAACGCTGGCAGTAGCTGTTGCCCAGGGGCAATTGATGTCCCTTGACCGGTTTCCTGATACTCAGTCCTCCTGGGGGCTCTCCTCAGCTTCTGGCTATCGCCAAGTCTACTTTGTCTCTGCCGCTGCCCAGCGGCCTCTAGTCACCCCGACCTGGTCCTCGGAAGATGCAGAGCCCCAGCAGGCTCCCTGACCATTCCCTCTGGCCTCTCTTAAGGCTTCTCCTTCCTCAGCCTCATGACTGGCTCTTCTTTGGCCCTGCCCGTGGGGCTGCTCCTCATGGGTATGTTCTGACAGAGGGTGGGCCTGGCCCAGCCTCCTTGCCTGTTCATAGGCCTCTGTCTTCCCCACAGGCCTTCACCACCAGCCCATTGTCGTTCGCCACCAAGCCAGGAGTGCCGCACCGCCCAGTGGCCCCCCGCGGGCTCCAGGCCCCCATTAAGAACCCCCTGAAGGCAGAAGCACTTCAGCTCTCCAACCTGTGGACCTGGGGCCCTGGAACTGGCCGAGGGCACAGTGCAGGGCTGTGCTGCTCTCTGCCCAGCGTCCACCCCAGCTCTCAAAGCTGCACGTGCCTGACACCACCGGGGGCCCTGGGTCTCCTGGGGCCTGGCACTTCCCTGATGCCTCCAGGACTGCACTTCGGCCCCAAGGTCTTCAGCTTCATTTCCCAACTGAAAGGACACCAAGGGTCAGCTCGGAGATGGGAAAAAGCATTTCTAGCTTTAGCCTGTATAGGGGCCCACAGCCCCCTTTGTCACTAGGTCAGAGGAACAAGAAGGGAAAGCAGATACCCCTTCTTTTTTTTTTTTTCCCCTTCCTTTTTGCAGGCTCTTGGTCAGCTGTGGTCTGGAAGTGTCCAGACTCGGGGGGCCCCAGGACCCTAAAAGTCTCAGATCATCTTTTACCAGGAGCAAGGCCCACCTAAGCCTGGTCCCCACCCAGCTGGGCCCTGGTGATAAGGGTAAAGGAGAGATACCATGCTTACTGCCCTTAGCCCCTTCCACTCTAGGCTGACTCTGCCCTCGTTGCGTGGGCAGAAGGGTAGAGGTTCTCCCGGGACCGCTAGAGAAAGGGCACACCATCAGCACCCTCGCCCCCTTTCCACAACTAGGGTATTTTGGCAGGGGACGGGGGCACAGTGGTCTTAGCTGTTTTCTCAGTCTCTTGCAAGTTTGTCCCAGCCCCCGCAGGGGAATACAGGGACCTACTTCTTTCTGTACATGTACCACCTCCCTTCTCTCATGTACATAAATCCCAGACCTTCCTTTTCCCAACAAAGGCTTGAAGCACCAGGCCTGACTTTGTCTCCTCTTTGCGGGGGGAGTGGAGGCAGGGTGCCTAGGGTGGCCGTTTAGTCTGACCTGAACCACAGGGACAGAAAGGAGGCCACACGGATCCTGCCGTCTCCTTGGGGGAGGTAAGCATAAGAGCCTGGGGAAGGGGAACCAGGCTGGGTGGGCTCCCAACCACACAAAGGGAGGCCGGCCTGCGATGGGACACTAGTGCTCTCTGCTGGCCACGCGTGCACCTGCCCTGTCTCCAGCATGCCCCAGCAGGATACGGTGAAGAGAAAAGAGCCACTGGCCATGTTATAAATATTATTTAAAAAACAAAAACAAAACAAAACAAAACACACATACACTGGGTCCCGGGGCTGAAGGAAGGAGTGGTGGAGCCCAAGGGCCCAGGCAGGCAGGAGCAGGCACTGATGCTAGAGGCTAAGGACCCCGCCTGTCACCAACCTGTCATTCTTCCCTAGAGGCCCCTTCTCACATTTTCTCTACTGGCACCACCCGCTCCACATGGCATCCCAATCTCTGGTCTGGGGCTGAGGGCAAGGACCGCGCTAGTTGCCTGGGAAGTGGAGGACCCTGGAATACCACGAGCAACCTGGGGAGGTGCCAGCCGTGGCGCGTTGGGGGCGGGGCTACTTGAGGAAAAGTGGACACAGACCAGACTAAGAAAGGAGTCTAGTGCAGACAGTGAGGGTGACCGAGGATCCACGGCCTCACACAGACCCGAGGCAGAGTGGCTCGCCGGGTCACTGGTGGTCATCCAGCTGCTGCAGGAGTGTCCGCCGCCGCCTTTCCAGCTCACCCTCGCTCAGCTCACTTTCCGACGTGTCCCAGCCCGTCTGGTGGAGCAAAGGCACAGCTCACCCACAGCCTCCGCCGAGGGCCACGGAGGCCTGTGGAGGGTGCGGACTGGGCTGGGGTCAGGTGCCTGCCTCTCACCTTCTCCTTCTTGATTCCAAAACCTGGGGAGCGGTTAGGGAGTTCCACCCGCCGCAGCTCCCTGTCCTTGTCCTGTTCTGGTTCTTTCTCATCACTCTCCTTGCCAGCCTTCTCCTCAGGGTCTGTCTCGCTCTCAGGACTGTTCTGTAAGAGCCCAGAGCCCACCTGCTCAGTTCCTGTGAAGGACAGCCCGGGAGGCGGCTGAAGAGCTCTCTCAGCATAGCAGGGCCCTGAGTAGCAGTCCCTTCTCTACGCACCGACTTGTGTCTTCTCTTCTTAGTTTTCTTTTTTGGTTTCTTGGCTTTCCTAAGGCCATGATCTGGAGATAGAAAATACTCAGTAAGTCCCATGGCGGGGGGTGAGGGGGCTCATTCTTTAGACAGGGAGCTAGCTGGGGAAGTCTCTGGGGTACAGTTTTCCTTCCTTCTCCCGGTTTCTGCCAGGGCAGGGCAGGGAAGTTCTTCCCACTCCGATGGGTACAGACCTCATCCCCTCCACCCTCAGGGCGCTGTCTCCTCTCACCGGAGTCAACCACTCCAACTCCCAAATGGCTCACCTGATCCAAGGAGAAGGCGAGAAGATGGGGAGCCCCGTCCTCCAAGGGCAGCACCCCCACTTTCAACCGAATCAAGCGAGGAAGAGGGCTCAGAGCCTGACTCCGACGGGTTCCGCCTTCTCCGCTTTGGGGGTCGGAGAGATGGCGGGGGCAGCTCCTCCTCTTCTGACTCCGAGCCCTGGGCAGATCAGCACAGACATGTCAGCGTACAGGTTCTCTGGCCTCCAGAAGCCCTCAAGTCTGGGAACTGGGGACAGAGAGGAGGATCCAGGGCCAAAGGAATTTTCAAATCTCACTCCGAGGAGAGGTGGTATAGGGGAAAAAACAAGCAACGTGGTTCCTATTTCCCCAAGACAATCCAGCCTCCCCCCGCCACCGGCCCCGCATCCCTTCTGCCCACCAACTCACTGAGGGCGAGTGGGAACGCTTCCGATGGTGCTTCTTGCCCTTTCTGCCGTGTTTTCGGCCTTTGGTGTGGAGATGCTGGCATTCAGTCTGGTAGAGGCAGAGGGAGGGGTGAGGAAGGCCCCAGGGTTCGCCATAGGACGCCCCCTGCACCCAAAAATCTGGTTTTGCCTCAAATGAGGGCCTCAGGCCTCTCCAGGCCAATGTCAGACCTCAGGGCAAGGACAGCCCCTGGGGGTAGGCGGTCACTGGGGTCTCTGTTGAGCTGGACAGGCTGCTCGTGAGCCGGGCACAGACAGAGGGTCAGAAGCTCTGTCTCACCTCCAGTACCTGCAGGAACTCGCGGAAGAGCCGGATCCGCTCCGACTCCAGGGTGATCTGCTCAAAGGCTGAGTCGCACACAAAGCGCTCACGGACCTTGAACGGGAGAGCACTGCTGATGAGACCAGCCCCGGGCAGGCACGGACACCGCCAGGAGCACAGGGCAGGGCTGGGGCAGAGGAAGGAAGGGGGCCGAAGCTGGCCGCGAGCTGCGCTACGACTGGGGCGGGCCCCCGGTGGTGGTGAAGCACCGCTGCCCTCAGGACCGAGGGGGTGGTGTCTGGTGCCAGGCTGCAGCCCTGACCTCTTCCCAGGCAGTGCCCAGCTCCAGGGCAGGCACGGCCTGTCTCAGCATGCTTCGGAAGGCAGCTTCCCTGCGCCGCATTCTTCGCGCCTCCTCCTTCTCCCGCTCTCTCTCCCGCGCCTCTGCCTTCTCCAGCAGCTGAGGACGGGAAGGAGGCAGAGCAGGGTCACCCAGGAGAGGGGGTGCCCAGGCCCCACTCAGACACACTGCAGGACATGGGAAGCTGGGGTCTGGGGGCTCCTGCTGCCACCCACTGAACGGAGCGGGGGGGCTGGGTATAGTCACACCAGGGCAGTGAGTGAGAAGGGACAAGATGCGGGGATGAGTTGGAAACGGAGCCCTAGGCTGCAGCCCCACCCCGCCTGGGCCCTCACACTATTGAAGGTCAACTTGATGTTGCCCGCGTCCAGCGCAGCAGCCCTCTTGTCAAAGCTTATGACGTGGGCGAAGTCCTCAAAGGCTGTGTTCACCTCCACGCAGAAGCCCCGGTCCTGTGGGCACAGCGGTGTGTGAAGCAGGGGCCGTCATGGGCCCGAGGCCTGAAGCTGGCCTCCGGGGCAGGGAGAGGGTTGGACTACAGGATGGGATGCTCGAGAAGTCCCCCAGCCCCCAGAAGAGACCCACAGGACTCAGATGTACTTCTGAAACCAGGCTGTCCAAGTCCTTACCATCTGACACCTAAGCTTCCCACGCCTACCCTTGGTCTGGATGTCGCAGGGAGCGGAGGGGGGCACTGGATCACATGGGGGGAGGGTAGGGGGCATGTGCGTATGCCATGTCTGCTGACGGACGCCTGAGCTTCCCACAAGTAATTCTTTGTTCCTTTGGCTTAAGGCTGGGCCCCAGTCAGGCCCTCCTGCCGCTCAGTAATTTCCTTGCATTCTGTCAACATCTGCTGGTCTCATCCTTTGGCTTAGTTCTTGGGTCCTTACTAGGCTGCCAGATACCGTGCTGAGTGCTTCACACACCTTATTTCTTTTAATCCTCAGAATCGAAATTTAAGCATAGGTCCTGGCCTCCTAATTTTATGTGGAAGGAGAAACCAAGGTTTAGAGAAACTTGTGCACTTGCCCACGGTCTCACAGCTAATTGGTGGTTGACTGAGAACTCTACCCCGGGTCCTAACACCAAAGCATAGTTTGAAGCACTACACCCACGCAGATCCCTCAGTCCTCTGGGGAATTCAAGGCCATCAGGTGTGCAACTCCAGAACACTTAAAAATACCTCCCCTTCTCGAAGCACCTTGGGCCTGGCTCTGAGCTGCTCATCTATGCCTCCCAACACCTCAATAAAGCAGAGGCTTTGGAGAGGTAATTCACTGGGCCCAAGTCGATCTGGAGTTTGAGCCAGTGGGGGCACAGGCCCGGTTCCCTTCCCCTCCCTCCACACAGCACGAACTTGCTCCAGCCTTCCGCCTGCGGCGGAATGTGCTCTTCTTATCGTCTTCAAGAGCATTTCCTCAACCCACACTCCAGCCCTTCTCAAACAGCCCAGTCTCTGTCAGGAGAGTGAAAGCGTCCATCCCACCTCTCTGCTGGCTACTCCCCTCAAACTCGTACCTCACTTGACTGGGAAGAGCCTGTCCACCTTGCTCTCACCTTCTTCAAGCTAACAACTTGGGCTGCTTTCCCTTTGGTGCAAAATCGTTAAATGCAGCACAAAGGAAAACGAATCAACATTTAGTGAGCCTGCTATAAGCCCGGCACTTTACAAATATTAGCACTTCCCACAACCATGTGCGTAAATTATTCCTATTCTACGGATGAGGAAACTGAGGCTCAAATTTGATAAGACTTGCAGAGGTCTAAGCCAGGAGTTACCTGACTCCATTCCACCCTCTTTATAGACACTACTTTCCTCGAAGTGCTCATGTGCTCAGAGACAACTTCCACGGGCCCCTTCTCAGTCCTCACTTGACTGGTCCTCGCACGTGTGCTGCTCCCTTCAACAACCGCCGTCTTGTCTCTCTGACCTCTCTGACTGCCTCTCTTGCTTGTGCTTTCTCCCCTGAGAATAGCACTTGGTCTTTTCAATCTACATTGTCCCTAGCGACCTCAGCCCCACTTCCCTCCTGATTTTCAGACCCATAATAGGCTGGAGGTTTCACAGAAATTTCAAATTCAGCAGACCCCAAAAGAATTCATTCCCCGTGAGCCACCCCTCTCCCCACTCCCATGGATCTCGCAGGCCCAGATCTTCTGGCTTCCAGCTGTTCCAAGTCCAAGGCTCTTGCCATTATCCTATGGAGTGAGAGGTGCCCTCACAGTCTGCCCGGCTAGTGGGTGGCCACAGGGACTCCGGGGCTCATCGGCCTTCTGTAAGCAGGAGCCCAAAAGGGGGAGCGGTGGGGGAACCGTGTAAAGAAGCTTCTTTCTCAGGAGATATGGAGAGACAGGACACAGAAAGGATGAGACTCCTGCAGGCCAGTCGGCAGGACCAGCCACTCTGTGGCTAAAATGTAAGCATCCAATAAAATACAGCTCTCCTGGGATTAGATATTTATACTTTACACAAATGTCCTATTTAAAATGTGGCCTTTGCTGTATTCCTCCCTGCCCCAGGTTACTTTTGAGACTAATTCCCTAAATTGAATTTCTATTCTCTCTCTAGCCCTGTTCCTGACGAATCCTCAGTAATGGTACCATTGTCCCACCTCCGCCAACTTCAACTCACTTGACTTCTGAGTGACTCCATTCTCCTGATTTTAAAGTTCTCTCTTTTTTTTTTTTTGCCAGCAGAAATCTTTTTTTTTTCCCACAGAAATCTTACGGAGAACCTCAGTATATAAAAGAAAAGCTGCTATACTTAAAAACAGAAGAAGGAGCATTAGCTTCCCCCTTTCTTGTCCCAAGGCTCCCCTGAGGAAACTCAGGGGAGGGGGTAGGGGTCTCAGAAAAACACAGCTAGAGCACAGCTCTCCCTCATCTGCTGTCTCTGCTGCCTCCGCCGAGCTCGTTCACCACCTAGACTGCCTCCCGACTGGCCTCCCTTCTCACCTCCCGTACCTCTAACCTGTCCTTCGGAGTCCTGTGCTGCTCCGACTTTCCTACCAAAGGGTCCTAACAGCAGGGGAGAGAGCCTGGGGGTGAGTCAGAAAAGGACGGCTCAAGTTCCAGATCTGTTTGAATCACTTGCCACTGTGACTTTTCAGTGTTCTGAGACTTCAAAAACTGTCCTCCAACTACCTACCTCTACAGACACAGGCACTCAGTCTGAGGGATGCTACTCTATACTCTTACCCTGTGGCTCTTCCAAGACATCCTCTGACCACAGCATTCCCTGGCTCCCCATTATTTACAAGATAAAAACCCAAACTTCTTATTTTAGCATTCAAGGTATTTTACATCTAGAGCTCTTTCTTTCAGAGAAACAGGAAGCCACAGGACAAAAGGGCACGTCTTACCTAATGGTAAGGACTTTTAAAACATTACGTTTATATTAAACAGAAAAATAATAGGGTGTGAAGATGCAATACCTGAATCTGTAAAGCAAAATACAGGACTTCAAAGAAATGCTCTGTGTGCAGTGGCCCATTCCTAGCTTTATTCTCGACCCTTCTTGCCCCAGGTACCGAGTTACTGCCCTTGGTAATTAGGTGTAGGCTGGTGGAAAATCCTCCATTTTTCAGGTGAGGAAACTGAGGCTCAGAAAGGTTAAATAGTCTGCCGAAGGTGACACAACTAATAAGTGGTTAAGCTGGACTTGTGTCCCAAGCAGTCTGTCTCCACAGTGCTGCTCCTAACTGCTGGGCGTACTGCCTCCCCAGGGCCTTTGCACGTTCTTCACTTCCACCAAGAAATACGCTTTCTCTTTGTTTTTTCCTTCTGAAACACAAGGCTCTCTTAGTGCAGCAATCCCTTTTCCACCTTTCAAGGACACAGACGTTGAGAACTCTCTCTCCAGTCTAAGACAAGCAAGGTGCCTGCTCAGCAATAAGGGGCGGCTGAACTTGCTGCCACACCAGACGGGTGGCGGGAGCGTGAGGTTAAGGATGGCCTGCCCCTTCTAAAAAGCAGTGGCATCTCAGTCTGAGACCCTGGAATGCTTTGCAAAACCAGCCCAGTGGTGTTAGATAAGTCATAATTTTAAGAGAACTAAAAGAGCCCGATTTTTCTATACAATCATCTAATTTTAAAATGTTAACAACAAAGTTGAAATGTTTCCAGAACACTGTACGGGCCAAAAGGTATATCTGTGGGCCACCAGCTTATGAGGAGCTGTGCCCCTTACTGCTCAGACCTGCCATGCCCTTCCCACACCCTTGCCTCTACTCCTGTAAGACCCCATACCCAGGACTGTCAGCCTCCTCCACCTGCTCGTTCTTAAAGGCATAGTGCAAAGTGTCAATTCTGTCGATTCTCGTCTCTAATAGCACTTGGCCCTCTCTATAACAGGTCTCATGTTTATCTTCCTATTGGGCCATGAGCTCTTTACGGACAGAAACCGCATCTTTCTTATTTGTGTGTTCCCAGTGCAGTCAGGGATCACAGCAGATCTCTGCTGAATGGAGCTACACTGCTTCTGCAAAACAGGACTTAGCAGGGAGTCCTGTCCGGAGAGGCGCCCTGCACCCAATCTGCATCCATCCACAACCCTGGGCCTCCCTCACCTTAAGGATGTCCTTAATGATCTTCTTCTCATCATGGAATCGTGCCTTCAACTCCTCCACATAGAACTTGAACAAGTCCAGAGGGGTGGAGCCTGCGGGGGAGGGAGGGAGGGGGGGCCTGGCGGGCGGCAGCTTCCCAAGGCCTGGGGGAGGGGTCCAGGACAGGGAGTGGGGGTGCAGAGAGGCTGGCAGGGCAGGAAGCCAGGCCAGAGAAGGGGGAGCCTGGCTGCCTTACCCGGCTGGCCCAGCATGTTGGCAAAGCGGACATCAGTGCTGACCGCTGGGTACAGCTCCATCCAGGTGGACATAGAGTGCAGCTGCCCTGTCTCGTGCAGCTCATCCAGGAAGGTCTGAGTGGGGAGAGGCCAATTATAGGGAGAGGGAAACACGGAGAGAGACAGAGGCAGAGACTAGGGAGGAAAAGAGGGGATGGGAGGGAGAGGCCGGGACAATCCCGCCTGAGGAAATGCAGGCGAAGGAGGCAGAGATGAAAAGCTACAGATGGTGAGGCAGAGAGCAGTGAAAACGGAGGGAATGTAAATACAGAGAGGGACAGACTCAAACATGACAAGCAGCTGGCCTGGGAGGCAGAGAAATAGGTACTTGTCTGCAGCATGTCCTGCTCGGGGTTTGCTCTCAGCTTCCCAAAGTGTTAGAGCTAAGGAACCCCCACTGCTGCCACCTCCAAGCTGAGGGACAACCAAGCTCTGACTGTCTGGCTCCCCACCAAACGGAAATGAACTTGGCTGAGCTGCCAAGATGTGCCTTTAGGGTGCTCTCTGCTGGCAGTTTCTGGGTGGTGCATACATCCAGTCTCCTTAGAGGAGCATGGCCCCCAGTTGAAGGGACACAGCAGAAGCAGAGTGGCCTCGTGGAGGTGGCACAGGACCGGGCGGAGATGAAACAACGGGCCTAGCCAAGAGGAGGCAGGGCACGAGCAAAGAGATTATGGGCCCCTCCGGAGCTGCGCACCTAACCAGCAGGTGGCAAAGATACCTGGAAGGCCTCCCTGTTCTTGCGTTGCTGACGCCGCTCCCGAAGGCGGGCCCGCTCCCGCTCCTCCTCCTCCTCCCTCTCCAACGCTCGGATGTGCTCCTCAAAGCAGATCAGTGCATCTTCCTTGTCCATGTCTAAGCACAGAAAGGAGGCTCAGCAGGTGCTGCAGGAGTGGGACACCCTCACCGACCTCAGCACCCACACCCCTACCCTGTGTTTGAGGGTGCTGCCTTAGTAGGCACCGGGGTCACCCTGGGTGGTGGGGCAAGGGAGCAGAAGCCTCTGTGGGAGAGAGACTGGAATGGTGGTTCTGGAGGAGGGTTCGTTAATACATGAGAACAAAACTAGCAAGTATTCAGCTCTTGTGAATTCAGTTACTGGAAAGAATCCTATGAAACCGGCAATCTCGGGATCTAACGTTTTATGTTTTACGGAACTGGGAATGGATCAGGCTTTGACGAAAGTTCAGAAGGTCAATTTCTGACATTGCCAATGACTGCAGGCCAACAAGAGCTCATCGTGACAACACATGACCAGTGGAGGCCCCTGGCACCAAGACAATTTAAGACCATATTCACAGGAGTTGGAAAAACTATCCTCTCTTGGTCCTCTGTTGCCTATCCTAGAGCTCTTCCTCCAAGGACACACAATGTCCAGGTCAACAGTGGACCCCAGAGGGAGGGGAAGGGTGTCCCAGTATTCCAGCATCTCTAGACTCTGGAGTGATACAGGGACGGAGTGAATGCAGAGGACCCCGGACATCCACAAGGGCAGTAAGTGCAGGGGAGCGGTAGGAGGCAGGCCCTGGGCTCCCAGGTCAGTGAGGAAAAGGGAAGGAATGGGCGGGAGTGGAGACCCAGGCTTACTCTGCAGCTGGTGGTCCTGAGCAAAGCTGGGGTTATCCATGAGGTACTGCTGGGCCTGGGACCATGTAGTTTGGAAGTTGACACTACTCATCCCATCCAGGATGCTCTTCAGGGCCTGGATGTTGCGGCGCCGGAGCTGCTTGGCCTGTTCCTGGGGAGCCACAGGGTCAGGGTCAGGGTGAGGTAGGGCAGGTTGGAGCTAATCAGGTGGGCCTGGGCAAAGGAGCATTTGGGGAAAAGCAGGCAGCTAGGGAACCCTAGGAGGGCCAGACTCAAGACTTCCCCATCCCCAGAAAGGGGAAGGAGCACAGGTTACAGACCAACCCCTCACAGATGCCCTCCTGCCCTCCCACACCGAGGTTATAGGCCCTGAGCCCCGAGTAGAAGCGGGGGGTGTGCAGGTGCCACACTAGCTTCCAAGGAAGGAGCTGAGACCCTGGGGCAGCTGAGAAATGAATGACCAGGCTCCACAAGGACACAAAGACACGAAAAGCCTGAGGACAGACTGATGGATCCAGCCAGTGACTGTTACCTTCTCCTTCTTGGCCAGGAAGAAGAGGACATCATCATAAACCTCTTTTCGATCCCTCTCAGGGACCACAGCCCACACCTCCAGCTCCCCAAAGGTCTGTTCTGCCCGCCTGTGGAGCATATGGGTCATGGGTAGGCGGGCAGGGGACAGAGACCCTGGGCCCGTGTGTTCTCAGGGTTCCCAGACCCCACCCCAGCCCGGCCCCCTGACCGGTAGCGGGTGGTAGAGGTCATGCGTTCGTGCTGCTCCAGGAAATGCTGCAAGGTCTGCTTGGCCTCCTTGGCCCTTAGCCGGGCCTCTTCCTTCTCCTCCTTCTCCCGCTGCGCCTTGTAGGCATTGAATGCCTGCTTTTTCTCACTCAGTTTGGGCAAGGCACTGGGGTGGAGAGGGTGGGAGTTGGGGGCGGGGGGGGGATAGAGGAGTCACCCTGCACAGCCCACCAAGCAGGGTCACGGCACACAGAACTGAGTGAGGGGTCCATGCATGGGAACAGCAGGCTGCAGGGAGGCAAGACGGGTCTCTGGGATGAGGGGAAGGATGGGAGGCAGTGAGGGAAAGATGGGGCTCCAAGACACTAACACCGAGCCCTTTTGCTCTGGGGTTGGTTCTCAAGGTGCATTCAGGCCTCCGCCCTATCCAGCCCCCTTACCCCAATTAATTCAATTCGAATCATTTCAATTCAACAAGCATTTATTGAATGTCTCATATCATATACCTTTCCCCTCCTCCTCCCGGAGGCCCTCCAGCTTCTTTTCCTTGCGCCCTTGCCCTTCTATCACTCTCCTGACTCGGGCCCCCTTGGGGCCAGAGTGTTGAGCTGGGGCTTCTCAGGGAGGCCCTGGCCCAGCTGCTCACACACAGTCTGGAGGGCCTGGCTCCCTCTGCCCAGGCCTACCTGTAACGGGGGTCGGTGACCACCATCTTCATGGCCTGTTCCCACGAGGCATTGGAGGGGACAGCCTAGAATGGAGCAGGCAGGGGTCACGGGACCTGCCCACCTCCAGCCCCCTCCAGGCCTACCCTGGGAGCCCCACCCCCGCACCTTGTCCCTCAGCAGCTCCTTGAAGGCCTGCTTTGCCTTCTCCCGGTTGCTCCAACTGAGGCCAGACCTCTCTGGTTCTGGCTTTGATTCCTCTTCCTCCTGCTGTGGCGGCTGATGCTGTCCAGCAGCACTGGGGGGCAAAGGGGACTCAGCCACAGCATCTCCCAGGTCCCCCAGCTTTCAGTGCCTATGTGGTCAGGAGTACAGCCTGGCTCCCCAGAGCAGCCCCCTTCTGCCCTCCAGAGGCTGTGCCCAGATCTTCACACCCTTCCCAAGAGGCCTGGCAGAAGTCAAGGGTTGAACTAGGCAGGGAGCCCGAAGCCAGCATCTGGAATGTCTCAGAGGGGCAGCCCTCACCTGCTGGGGCCCTCCTCCGGCTGCTGCAGAAAACCCTGCTCCACAGGCTGGGCGGCCTCTGACATATCACAATCTTCACTCCCACCTGGCTCAGGCTCTAGAAGGCCCAGGGGCACAGGGGTGGGACCAGGCGGCCCAGGTGGGGGCTCAGGCTGGGGCTGAGGTGGCTGCGGCTGCAAGATCTGGGGCTGCTGCGGCTGTTTCCTACAGGTGGGCCAGAAGAGCAGTGTCCAGGAGCGGAGCAGACAGTGGGACAGTCAGGGACCAGCTGGTCTCTCTGTCCTGCGAAGGACTGGGGCCAGAGCAGGCCACTCCACGTACAGACTGAGAGCTGGCTCTTCCACGGAGTGGGGACCACAGACAGAGGGTCCACTCCCACCCCTCTGCTGGCCCCACGTATAGGGGGATAGGTGGGCAAGTCACTCACCCTGCAGCCTCTTGTTTGACTAGAGCTGCAATGGGAAAAAAATAGCATGGTCACAGGGTGGCAAGGGCCACCCCCCAGAACCGTAGCCCAGGCCCTACCCACTCCTCACCCTCCAGGTCATCCAGGTCCTTGGGCCGGGTCCAGCGAGACTCCTTACTCTGGTTGTTATAGTAGTAAGGTTTGCCCGTGTCTGACTTGTACTCTTTCCAGGGGCACTGGGACAGCAGCAACTGCAAGAGGATGGGTCAGAGGACATCAGTGGGCTGGGCATGCCCCCTAGTTGGAGGCACAGTCAGGGGAGCGAAGAGGATCCTGTGAGCAGGGAGTTTTCAGCTATCACCTGGCCTGGCTCAACATGGGGATGGACAGACTTCCTGAGATCGTAGGGAGCATGGGGCAATGGTCAAGGATCTTGGGATCAGAGGAACCATGTGTATAGTTAAAGACTCAGGGGAGGCCAAGGACTTGGAAGGGTCAGGGAAGCTGAAAGGTAGGGCCAAACAGCCCTGTTCAGGACCTCTGCCTTGGACTTGAGCGCGCTGGGCTTCTCCCACACAGACTGCTTGTCGTCAGCATTGTAGTAGTAGACACGTCCGTCAGGAGCCACATGCTCACTCCACAGGGCCCTCTGGGAGGGGAGGGGGCACAGAATGGTGGTCAAGGCCCTGTCCCCAAAGCTTCTCCTCCTTACCCCAAAGATTTAACCATCAGCTTCCCCAACTTTCAGCTTTTCTACCCAGAGACCCCTGAGCTGGAAGAACTCACCGGAGGGCCTGTCCCAGCCAAAGCAGCTAGAAAAATAAAGCAAAGGGAAATGTTAAGTCCTTGCCCCAACCCCCATTTTATCCCATCTATTCCTCCCCTACTCCATCCCCAATAAATATCCCCTGGTCCCATCAACATCCCAGGCTCCCTGGCATCCCAACAGGCATGATCCAGGGTGGGCTCTAGTCCACGGTCCCCTCTCCCCTGTACCCCCCAACCTCCGAGCCTGGGGGGAGCAGACCCCCAGAAGACTCACAGCTGGCTGTGTCCGCACCTGGAGCCGTCTGCCGAAGAAAGAGGAGGGGGAAGGGTTGGGGCCAAGCCCAGCGGCCCCCAGGACCCAGGCCATGGGGGATGAAGAAGCAGGCCAGGCCAGGATCTGTGTGTCCTGCTCCCAGGGACCTCTGCCCCCTAACAGGCATCCCCCACCCTCTGGAGCCGTGGCTGTAGGATCCTAAGGGGAATCGCACAGCAGCTGTTCTTGGTTTTCCTCGAGTGAGAGCATTTTGTCGAGTCCACCTCCGAGGCCCCTCTTCCACAGCAGATGCCAACCGCTACATCCTACCCAGACTCTACTACACTGAGCAATGGAACCAGAAGGTTCGGTGAGATCCCCAGGTGTTGCTACTTCCACCAGAGACAGAGAAGGTGTGAGGGGGGACTATATTCAGGTGTCCGCAGTGCCAGCTCTGTGAGGGCAAGCAGTGTCAGCCATGAATGTGTTCCTTCAGGGAGCCGGGCCCAGCAAGGAGGACAAAAGAGTAACATGCCTTTGGGGGTGAGTGAGAAACTACAAGAGCAGAGTATGTGGCCAGAGAGAAGGACCTGAGTGTGGGGAGTGCTGCTGGGACCGGGACGGAACCAAAGAGAAGAGGGAAAGGATGGAGGCCACATCCCTGTCCACCAAGTCAGACCCGCAGGGCTGCGGGGCCTGCTTCCTGCCAGCCCCCCTCGTGCTTACCGCTGCAGTGACAGGCACCGCTGGCATCAGCATTCCTGGCATCATGGGAGGTACCATTCCTGGTATCTGGGGACACAAAGAAGATAAAAAACAACTACCGAGGTGAGGGCAGGCAGAAGCAAGGCAGGTTCCCGAGAGATACCCTTTGGGGCCATGACCTTCGCATGGTCCCCCGCCCCACCTTAGACAATCTCTAGGTTCTAGGCTCTCAGCCCCACCACAGAGTTTCCTCCCGTCACTCAGTGGACAAATCCACATGGGCCTGGCCAAAGCTCCCTCCCTTCTCTCCCTACTTCCTGAAGTCCAGATGCCCCTTCTCCCCTCCACCCACAGCCGGACTCACGGGGTCTTCTGAGGCACTGAGGCAGGAGGGAGGATTACCTGCGTGATTGGTGGTGGCGCTCCCATTGGTGGAAGCATTGGGGGCATGATGCCAGGCGGCATCGGGGGGATGGCTGGTGGTCTCTGACTCATGGGGGGTAGTCCCATCGGAGGAAAGGGTGGGGGAATTCCTGGAGGGGGCATCTGGAAGTGAGGAAAGGAAGGGACACTGAGTAGAGAAGACCCCGCCTTGGACCGGTCAGGGAATATCCACCTGTCTCCCCGCCTTCTCAACTCCCTGCACCGCCTGGCTCTTAGGCAATTCCAAGGCTTTAGTTTAAGAAGCGCAAAGCATGAAACTGCCTGCTCCCCACCACTGAAAAAGACTGAAAATTGGGCGGGGGGGTCTTCTGGGTCTAAGAGGCAAGCACCATAGCTTCTTCAGAGGTAGGGAAGGGAGAGGGGAAACGTCTAACTGCCACCAGACCGTAGCTGGAAGGCTCCATCCCTTGAGCAACTCTCCCCAAAGAGTCTTCTCAGAGGCAGGATTCCAGGTCCCCAGACCTCCCAGTCCCCTGCCTCCCATCCCTTTTTCTCCAGTTCAATGACCACCAGCTGCTACTTCAGCCTGACTTCAGTGGCATGTTGAAAGAACAGAGAAGGAGTAGTGAAAGAGAAAGGCAGCCCCACCATGCGCTTACACTAACAGGGTCTCTTCCCTTCCACTTCTCTTACCCCAGCCCCAGTGTGTCCCAAGGACAAAAAGACAAAGGGGGAGCTGTCAACTTGACGGACAGGGAGCTTGACAGCAGCTCCTCCCACCCCATGCCCAAGCAACACTACCCCTTTTCCAAGGGTGGCAGAGGAAGCAGGACACAAAACCGTGCTGGCAATGCAGCAGTGCTAGGGACTGGGGTAATGGGGGTGCAGGCTGGAAAAGCCAAGCCCAGGGGAAGACATAAAACTTACGAAGGGTGGTGGCATCATGGGGGGCCCCGGTGGGAAGGGGGCAGGCGCTGCTGGGGGCCGGGGACCAGAATCGGGAACCGACTGTTGAGGGAGAGAAAAGTCATAGGACCCAGGATGGGCAGAGATGGGCTTTTGCAAAAGGGAAGCAGAGTGATGAGGATGAAAAAGGAGTACAAAGTTCAGAGGAAGGGTCTCCTGGCCCGGTTTCCTGCCCACACCCAGCTCCGAGCCCTAGCTAATTATGCTCTCTTCTACCAGCCAAGAGCCAGGCTGCCGGTCCCCTTCTACGTGGTCTTTATCGCACCAGAGCCCCAGAACAGATGAGGGCGGCTGGACTACAGGCCCAGTGTGGCTTTTCCCAAGGCTTTGCATCCATTCTCCTATCTGTGGGCAAGGCTGGGCCTCCCTCAAGCCTTCAACAGAGGTCTCTCATTCCCAAAGTAGCCAGGGAGGAAGTGACCTCCTTTCCCGTCTCCCTACCTGAATTCACTGGTAGAGTCAACCCCAAAGCCCTCTAAGCCCAAACAGTCACCACACCTTAAGCACTAGCCTCCCTCTCTCTTCACTGCGGGCACCCCCCAACTGGCCTCATCTTTACTCCCTTACTCACTCTGACACCTCCCACTCCCCATCACCTGCTCCTCAACAGCTCTACCCCTTTCCCCTACAGATCCCGACCTCCTCTCCCTGTGGCTGAGACTTTGAACAGCCTAGTCTCCCTGCCCTACGCCTACTAGCCACCACATCCCATCCTGCAGTTGTTGCCTTAAATACCACATGCTCCCAAGAGCGCTCCCGACCACTGAATTTATTCTCTATCTGATGCCCTTCTTAGTTTCCTGGTGTACACAGTTTCGTAATTATTACGTTTCCCCTTACATGTGTAATAACATTCCATGAGGACAGGGATGTGTCAGACTTATTGAAAGCTGGACCCTGGTACCTGCCCCAGTGTCTGGCACATAATGGGTACTCAATAAATATTGAATGAATGCAAGAAGGGACAAAGAAAGGACCAAACACTCCCAATTCTAACACCTCATCTATAAATATAGCCAAATTCATCCCACAGATATGGTCAGAATGATACATATACAATGTTTCCAGTCCAGCATTATTCGTAAAAACAGAAGACTGGCATCAGCCTATATACCCGTCACTAACTATGAAATTATACACAAACATAAAATGGAATACTATGCAGTCATAAAAAAAAGAATGAAGCCATTCATAGTCTTGATAGGAGCAATCTCTAAGATCCATTAACAAGTGGGAAAAAATGCAAAGTGCAGTCAAGTATGATCATTTGTATGAAAACTGGAGAGAAAAGAGGACATACAAGAAAGAAATCAGTAGAAGGGAGACGGAGGTGGGAAAGGAACCTTCTCGCTGTACATATGCCCTTTTGTAACTTTTGAATATGCATCCATGTGACTATATTACCCATTCAAAAAAAAAAATCTTTTTAAGTAAACTGAGGCTTCGAGATACAGCTAAAAGGCCCTGTCCTTCCTCCTTTCGCTTGATGGTTAGAGGGTATCAGGGAGGAGTTCTAGGGAAAGGTGGTAGCTGGCTGAGGAGGAGACACCCTACTGATGCCCAACTTCCCTGCCTCCCCATTGACCCCCTCCACTGAGAAGGCTTGGCATTGAAAGATGCTTTCTAATATCTACCTCCCATAGTATCTGTCCTGCCTCTGTTCCCACCCATCTTGTCCTAAGGAGAGAAAGGTAAGCCACACTATTCCACCCAGAATCAGCTTTCTCAGGGTTCAACTGCCCCAGCCCGAGACTGTCCTTAGCATGGGAAGTCAGAAATTGTGTGGGAGGAAATCCAATTCTCTGTGCCATGCTTACCCACCTCAAGCTGCCTTAGGATCCTCTCTGACCTCCCAGATGCTACGTAACCATCTCTCTGGGTCCTACCAGGTTCCAGAGTTGCCCATCTGAGGCTGGCACCACAGTCCCTACAGCTGTCTAAGATAGAAACTGGTGAGTCATTCTCCACACCTCCCTCTTGTCAATACGTCACTGAGTCCTGCTAATTGTACCTTGTACACATTTCTTGAATCTGCCCACCCCTCTCTCGTTTTCATTTGACCTTCTGTAGTAGTCTCCCTACATCTACAATAAGCTCATCAAAATGCACCTCAGATCATGTTACTCCCTGCTTAAAATTCTTCAATGGCTCCCACTGTCCTGACGGTAGAGACCAAAACTCCTCCCCAAGGCCTGGAAGGCTGTGGGAAGTCTGCTTCTCAACTAACTTGCCAGCTTCATCCATATTGAGTTCCTGAGTGTGTGCTCTCGCCACACTCACCATCTCCCAGTTCTCCCACCTCCGGCCTTCATCTCTGCCTGCCACAACTTCCTGCTGACCCTATACACCTAGCCTACAGGTCTCACATCTACCAGCCATTACTTCCTCTGGAAAGGCTTCCTCCCAGGCCAGTGGTCTAGGCTTAAGTCAGAGCCCTCTTTTACAGGCTCGTGTACCACGCACCCTTCCCTTTAGCAATTACCCACTGGAAGTTTACAGTTACTCCCATGGTGCTGACTGTCCCATTATTTTATGTGGCCACTAATAAAAAACAAATGCCACCACTTAAATTATGATACTCCAACGATTTTAAGAGGTCTTGACAAGAAATGTTAAAATGTGAGTCTTAGGGTCAATGAAATATCTGCTGCCTCCACCAGATCTTTCATTTAAAGGGGCAGGGACTTGGTCTGTTTTGGCTCACCCTCATCTCCTAGCCCCACTGTATTTTCCTCACTGCCCCAGACTGGAACATAGAAGGTGTTAGTATTTATTAACTTGATGGTCTTGGCAGGTCCCACAAAACACAGCCACTGGTAAGGCCTAGGAGTTATTCAGAGAACACAGAATGTCAGAGACGGAGGGGACTCTGGCGACCACCCGAGGGAGTTTCCTTTTTCAGATGAGAAAACTAAGGGAAATTATCAGTCCCAGGCTCCACCGTGGTCAGGGACAGAGCCAGGACGGGGTCCATTCTGCTCTTCAGTCACCCTCAGCACTGTCCTTGCCACAAGGAAGCAGTCTGTTTTTTTCACTCAGCATATTCCCTGCTTCCCATGTGGTAAAATCAGCAAGGATCCAAACCGTTCCTTGAGAATTAGCGGTGGCTCCCTATCGCTCACCCTACAGAATCTCACCTAACATTCGAAGCCTTTCAAAAGACCTGTCTACTCTTGGCTCAGCCTGACTCAGTGGCTTCCCTCCTCCTCTCTGCACAGCAATTGTTAGGTTACACCCTGTGTTCCTCTTACTCTACGGTCTCTCACTTTGCTCAAGATGATCCAGTATTCACCCCCTTCAGATTACCTTTATGATTATCCTCCACACATACACATACTCCTACCTCCTTGTGTCCCCTCGGGATAAATGCAGCACTACTAGGCACTGATGACATGCTACTCTGTGGATGTTTGCTGGGTGTTTCCCACCCGTCCGCCTGTCTCCCTACCTGGGAGGAGATTTCTCCATATTGGGGGATTATGTTTTCTCCTTTTACGCCTCCCCTTGAGTGTCTAGTCAGGACCCTGCACACAAAGTGCTGTGATAGAATGCAGACTCATCCTTAACCTTACTCGATTTTTGCATCCTAGAATATCCCAGAACAGGCAAATGTGTGCAGGTGCACCCATGTGCCCACGTACAGTTGTATAAAATTCTCTGGGTAAAGGTGGCCTGTAATGAGATGGACAGCTCGCTAGAGGCTGTCTGTATAGCTGGGGAAAGAAAACTGGAATCAAATACTGGCACGGGAAAACCTAAATAGTAAAAAACTCACTGTATAGGACATCTCTAACTTGGTGTATGTGCCGCCGAAGTGAGCACTGACCATCTTTAACTTGGAATGGAGACCCCTGGCCAGGATCCAGATGCTGGACTGTTTTGGACAGTTCCCGCAGAGGACAGAGCAAAGGAATGAAGATAAATTACCATGGAACTTCCGCGGCCCTCCCTTCCCTGAGCTTCCCCTGTGCAACGTGTATACTTTTCTTCCTAAAACACCTCTGCCCCTCTCTCACTTGCTGCGAAGCCTGGACAAGTGCGGGTCTCATTACACTTTGGGGCGAGACTGAACTCGTGTGACAGAGGGATACAGGAAATGGGCTGAAAGAGCAGATCTATGTCTTCCCTGGAACAAAAACACATCTGTGGGCTGGACAGAGACGAAGAAACCACTGATCATCTTATCATCATGAGCTCATCTGTACCAGTGGAAGGACCCAACACCCCCCCACCACCACTACCACCAAAGGTGCGATCAATTCTTCTGAGCCTTTACATCTAAGCTGCAGCTCAGAACTAAAGACTCAGAAGAAAGAATAAAAGGGGAAAAGAACAAGAATGGAGATGGAAGAAAGAGCAAGGAAAGAGGGAAGAGCTAACAACTAATATTTATTGAGTGCTTATTATGGGCCAGATATCATGCCACTCATTTAATCCTTGCAACCATCTAAAAGGTTATTATTGTCCCCATTTTATAAATAAAGAAAGTGAGGTTCAGAGAGATTAAATAACTTGAGCAAGGTTCCAAAGGATTAAACGGCAGAGGCAGGTTTGGAATCCATGCATTCTGACCCCAAAGCTTTCAACTACTCCACAAAGCTGTCTCCCAGCTAGGGTGATGGTGCCACAGCTATTTCTCACAAACTGATTCTCCTGTTTTCTTTTTACCCCAATCCACACACTATCCTGAAATCCTCCAGGTGATCCCAAGGATGGTCTGGTCTGACTCATTCCCTAAAGGGATTTGTGTTGGGACAATGAAAGCTGGAAGGCACACTTCTCAGAAAGGTGAGAGAAAGTACCTCTCAGAAAGGGTACCTGACATCAGAAAGAAAAAAAGCATGGAGGCCAAGAGACCAGCTAATTCCCCTGCAGTCAGCCCTTACTTGCTGCCCTGCTTCAGCTGCCCCAAACAGTGTCAGGCCCTCCGTTTTCAAGACCATCCTAATCCCCACTCCTCTACATCAGCCTTAGTATATTCCTCCCTCTCCCCAAAGATATCGGCAGTCTTACTAGAAAAGAGCTTTCATTGCTTCTCTCTGTCCTGCCATCTCCTCAGAATGAAGACCTCATGCTGGTCTTCGTTTTCTTGAGTTAGGTCTCTACCTCCTCCGCCACTTCCAGAGTTCTTCCATCCCTCCAATAGGATGCCACTGGCGCTGGCTAGCCTGCTCCAGCCCTGCAGGCTTTGTGCCTACCATCCCCCACATCCCTGGGGATTTTCTGCAGCCCCAGCTGAAGGCCTCGCCTCCAGCGTCAGCCTGCTTTCCCTTGCTTCCCCACATCCTAGAATCCATTCTCCTGAACTCTCTCCTGAGGAACCACCCCATTTCGAAGCTGGAAAGGATCTGTGGTATCATTCTCATGCATTTTCCTTGTTTTGTTTTTTTTTTTTAATCGATGGGGCATCTGAGGCCCAAAGAAAGGTAGTGACTTGCCCAAGGTCACACAGAGTTGTTAACACAGTTTGTTGATGGCAGAGCCAGGGTTGGGATCAAGGGTCCTCTGTTTTCTCATTTCTTGGGCTATCCGGGACTAGATGGGGACCGTAGCCTCTCTTTCCTCAGGAGACAATGCCCTCTCCTCACCTAACGACACAATGAGAGGAAACGAAGGAGGGGGTCTCCAAGTGATCTTATGGGGCGTCCAGGGCTTCCAAAGGAAACAAGCACTGGGTCTGAGGAGGGGCGTGTTGCACGCCAAATACCCAACAAGGGGAAACTGGCCCCCCAGCTCTCCCCTTGTCCCTCGGTTCCCACATTCCCGCCCCCTCTCCTTTCCTGACCTTTCTTCACAAACCGACCCTTCTCGTCTCCCCTTCCTCCTCCTCAACCCAGTCCCGCAACTCTCGCTCCCCTCAATCCCCCTCTCCCCCACCCCCGTCATCCTCCATCATGGCCTCCCCGCCCCTTCTCCCCCAAATCCCCGCTCCCCTCCCCCTCCCGGGCTCCCTTCCCTCACCCCTCATGCCCCTCGCCCTCCCCCGGGGTCCGGGTACCCCCGGCGGCCTCCCCGGCCCCCCGGCCCCGGCCCGGGCCGCCGGGGGCGCTGTGGGACCGCCCCGGGCCCCTCCACCCCCGCGCGGGGACGTTACCATGCCAGAGCCTCCGAGCAGCTGGGCCGGCTCGGCCCACCCGCCAGTAAAAGACGCTCTGATTGGCCGAGCCGCAGCCGGGAAGGCGGGGCCAGTGGGGGGTCGCACCCCTTGGTGGCCGGGGCTCCGGTCGCGCCCGCGGACCAGCCGGGCCCTGCACCGGCCCGGAGAGCCCGGGCCCGGCCCCGCCCCCGGCGCGGACAGCTAGACCCCGCCCCCGCGCCGCCAGCTCCGGGGCCCGCCCACGGGGGGCGGGGTGCGCTGCCGGGCTCTTGACTGGCGGCCGGAGCCGCAGAAGCCTGGCAGCCCCAAGCTGCTAGAGCGCGCGTCCGGGGCGGCTCCGCGCGTCTGCAACTCTCCTGCCTTCCCGCCCTTCCCACCGGCGGCCTCCAGACCTGGGCCCCCAGCTTTCCCGGCCTTTGCCGATCAGCTGGCGCGTCCGCCGCGCATGGGCGCTCGAAGCGCCTGGATCCCACGCACTCGCGCCCGGGACCCAGGGGCTGGACCGATGTGTTCATTCAGAATGTAGGGGTATCTTTGCACCTCACTGAGAGTTTTTTTTATTCGTTGCATAGTTATTTTTTAGCACTTTAAAGTTCATTCATTAAACAGGTATTTGTTGAACATCTGATAAATGCCTCAAACTGTTCCAGGCACTGGACAAACGGCAGTCGGAAAAAAAAAAGCGGATAGAGCTCCTGAAATCCCTGCCCTCGGAGGCGTACGTGCTTCTTAGGTGAGCCCGAAGTTAACTTCTTTTCAGATTTGGCTTCCACCAAGCGGTGAAAGCGAGCCAATCATTTGTAGGCGTTAGAGATATGAGCTAAATACTATGTTGTGCAGATAAGGGAATTACAACCCAAAATTATTTAATGAATATGCCGAAGGTTTCAGGACTAGTAACTGACAGGGCTCCTGATACCGATGCAGGGTGCAGAAAGGGATCGAGCACCTTCTCTCCAAAGCCTGGATAAAGATGATACCTTTTTTCTTTATTCATCAACAGTTGAGCCTGTACTCTGTACTCAGTGCTTTGCTAGGTGCTGGAGATTGAAAACTCTGTGAGCCGGGTCCCTGCTTGCAAGGGTCTTAGAGTCTACTGGGAGAGAGGTAGGAAAACAACCAGCAGGAAGCGGAACTCCTGAATAAAAGGGAACAAATGGGAGAAAAGGAAGAGGGATTCGTTCTTGGGGATGATTGTAGATCACTGTCGTTTTCTTCACAATACCTATATAGCCTCAAATGAAGGCCTAGTCCCATGGTTTTCAAACTTTGTTACTGAGACCTCTGGGCATAGCAGGAGTGGTCAGAGGTTCCATAAACTTTTACCAGTCACATTTAATTTTTTTTTTTTTCCAAATGAAGTATTTCTTAGCCTAGGTAGGCACCTACTTTAAAGAGTCAAATAATTGTGTACGGTTTGTTAATATAAACAGCAGAACCCTGCCTCTATCATCTCTCCCTCCCTGGAGGCAGCCATTTTCAGCTCTTTGAAGCGGTTTTTTCTTTTTGAGACAGAGAGAGAGAGTACAAGCAAGGGTAATGGCAGGCGGAGGGCAAAGCAGGCCCCCCACTGAGCAGAGAGCCCCATGTGGGGACTTGATCCTAGGACGGTGGGATCTTGACCCAGCCAAAGGCAGATGCTTAAATGACTGAGCCACCCAGGCATCCCTGAAGCTGTTTCTTTTGGCATTTTACTTTTATTACCCTGGCCCTCCTCCAGCTGCATCCCTCCCCACAGGGTACTGAGTCCAAGGGGATATGCCAATCCAAAGCCTACTTACCACCTTATAAGCCATATTCTGAATACCCGGGACCCTGGATTTCCCTGCCCAGCTTGCCTCCTTGGACCTCTCTTCCACAGGAAGACCTTGCTGATAGGCATCGCTAGGCTTGAGGGATAGCCAAGGAGCATTTATTTGCAGCGAGAGGCAAGAGCACAAGTTGGGGTCTCCACAGGACCCTGTGTGAGGCTCTCTCAGTGTAGGACAGAGGCAAGGGCAGAGGAGAAGGGAGTGAGACAAGATCCAGGGGCTGGGGGCTCCTATTTTCTAGTATGGACTCTAAGGAGTCCAAAAATTCTGATTTAGAACCTGGCTTTCCTGGTCCATATGAAGAGTTTAGAAGGTATTTTATTTAACAGTTTAATTTATAACATTTAATTTATAAAATTTAATTTAAATTGTTAATTTATAACAGTTAATTTGTAATATTAAAATATTTGATATGTTTTCCATTTGTAGTCTTGCCCCAGGCCCCACAAAATAAAAGGGGCAGATTGGAGGAATTATTAACTTTGTTCCCTTCAGGTCTCCTTCCCTGCCCACTGATCCCTCATTCTCATCCCCTAGTTTCGGTTTTTACAACACTTGTCTACACCTGCTACTCAGAGTTGAGCCATGTAGAAAGTTTTGATGACTCTTTCTCTCCTGCACAACTTTTGATTTTTCCTGAAATTAATACTTACCTTGCTTTTTCATTTGTTTAGTTTTCTATCTATATATCACAAAATCTGCCTCAAAATCTTCCTCTAGTTACCTGAATCTCAACTCAGAATATCTAGACACAGCAGATACTCTATCAACTTTATCTTCTTCAAGAGATCTCTGCTGGAGCCTTGTGACCTGCTCCAATCCGAGAGTTTATCCCTGACCCTTGCTGCACCTGGCAACCTGGCCCTTCCTCTCTCATCTTCCTGGCACTGTCTTTGACCTCTCCTTTGCTGGATCTTTTATTTGCCATGTTCCAGGTCTTTTTTTGTTGTTTAATTTATTCCCTCTTTTTGGAGACCATCTTCCAGAAGCTTCTTGAGAAAAGGAGAGGTAAATTGTTTCGAAACTTGCATGTTTGACATTGCCATTATCCTACTCCAACACTTGACTGATTGCTTGGTTGGGTATTGAATTTCTTTGGAATTATGAAGGCATTATGACATTACCTTCTAGCTTTCATTGTTGTGAGAAGTCTGAAGCCTTTTAAGTCCTTCCTTTGTAATTGACTTTTTTCCCCATCTCTGAACCTCTCCCTGTCTCCAGTGTTCTAAGATGGTTGTGATATATCTTGGTGAGAGGCTCTTTGTCGTGCTGGTTACTCAGTGCCCCCTCACTTCCGGGAAATAATCTTGAAATCATCCCATTGGTGAATTCTTCCCTTTCATTTTCCCCGTTCTTTCTTTTTGGGGAGTCCTGAAATCCAGATGATGGATCTGATGGACTGCTCCTACCAATTTCTTGTTTTTCTCTCCTGCTTTCCATTGTTATTACTTTGTTTCCTGGGAGAGTTCCTCAATCTTATCTTCCCTTTCTTCTACCGAGTTTTTCAATATTGTAAAGATTTTTATTACTCTCACGTTACTGTTATTCTCTGAGTATTCCTTTCTAATAGCATCTTTTTCTGTTTCAGTGTCTCAATGGTTTATCTTATCTCTGAAGCTACTAATGGTAGTTTTGTTTCAATTTTCTTCTTTCTGTGTAATCTCTGTGTGCTCCAAATTTCTTTTTCTGTCGTTTTGGTCTCTCTCTTGTTAGAATCTTTTCTTAGAGGTCTTATAATCCTTGGTTGTTTGCTCACATTAAAGGATGGGTTACCAAAAAGCCCACTGTAAGTATCTGTGCTCTGTGAGCTCAGGTATATGGGTGGAGCTTGGCGGCCAAGAGCTTCACCTCAGGGAGCCTCTGATGCTAACATCTTTAGGTTTTCCTTTTGCGGTGGTCAGCCATCTGGCGCAACCGATTCTGTTTGCCATCCACTGGCCCACTGCTGCCTTAGGATTCGTCCTTCTCTAGTCTCAGTCAGTAACCACTCATCCATATGCTTTCCAACTTCCTAAAGTATTTTGCTCCTGTCTCCTCTCCTGTTTCCCTGTCTTTGTGGATTTATGGCTTAAAATAGCCCTTTGCTATAGTTTGAGCGTATTTTTAGTAGAGCAAAATTAGATACATGTGTTCAGTCTACCATTTTTATCCAGAAACTTTAAATATATTTTATCTGTTTCTAAAACAGTAGTTTAAAAATATATATACTCAAGAGGCGCCTGGCTGTGGCTTAGTCAGTGGAGTGTGTGACTCTTGATCTCAGGGTCATGAGTTCGAGTGACACATTGAATGTAGAGATTACTTTTGAAAATTAATTTAAAATACATGCACTCAGGGGTGCCTGGGTGGCTCAGTGGGTTAAGCCTCTGCCTTCGGCTCAGGTCGTGATCTTTGGGTGCTGGGATCGAGCCCTGCATCGGGCTTTCTGCTCAGCGGGGAGCCTGCTCCCTACCCCCCTACTTGTGATCTCTCTCTTTCTGTCAAATAAATAAATAAAATCTTTAAAAAAAATATATGTGCACTCAGATGTCCTACATATCAAATTTTTCAGTTTATTAAAATAGCCTTGTTGACAGTGAATAATTTTATAACACTGAGATATCATGAAACTGAACTTATATTAATGTATTCTAGTAAGATATTGCTTTCATCTGTCTTAGATAGTGAGGTTCTACAAAAGATTTTGCTTGGAAAAGGAGGTTGCCTGCTTTTTAAAAAAAGGTCTACAGACCTCTTTTCTGGGCTAGTAATCATCTAAGTGTGGCTCTTTTTTTTTGTTTCCCCCTTTTCTTTTCAGAGAAAGTGGAGGGGAGGAGGGAGAGGGAGAGAATCTTTTTTTTTTTTAAGATTATGTTTATTTGTCAGAGAGAGGGAGAGCAAGAGTGAGCACAAGTAGGGATAGCTGTAAGCAGAGGGAGAAGTAGTCTTCCCCACTGAGTGGGAGCCTGATGTGGGACTCCATCCAGGACCCTGAGATCATGACCTGAGCAGAAGGCAGATACTTAACCGGCTGAGCCACCCTGGCACCCTGGATTATATCCCCTTTATTAAGTGACACCTTTATCATTATAGAACGTCCCTCCTTTTTTATCTTTTCTAATATTTCCTATTCTAAAATCTGGTATTAATATAGCCACTCCAGCTTTCTTTTTGATTAGTATTAGTATGGTTTATCTCTTTCTGTCCTTTTACGTTTAACTTATGTGTGTCTTTTTATTTATTTAAAGTGTGTTTCTTATAGACAGCCCATAATTGAGGCTTGGGTTTTTCTTTTTGAGCCTTACAATCTCTATCTCTTAAGTAGCTTTCTTAGATCATAATCTAATTATCAGTATGATTGGGTTCAAAAGAAAGAAGAAAGGGAGGAAGGGGAGGAAGGAGAGGAAAAAAGGAAAGGACCCTGGATTGGGAATTAGGAAACCAGGGTGAAGACTTGACCTTGTACTTCCCAGCTCTGTAACTTTAGGTAAATCTCGTAACTTCTCTGAGTCTTCACTGGCTCATTCATGTTTTTAAGGATGAATAAGTTATTTGTAAACTACCAGATGCTCTGAAATCTTAAGTGATTCAAGGACTATCCAGTACCAGATGTGTGGATGAAGAGGTATCTGTAAACAGGGTATGAGTGCCTTAAGGACAGAACTGGGTCTCACTTATTTCTGTATTTCTAGCACCTAGACCCAGGCTTGGCATGTAGAATGTTCCCAGTAAGTGTTCACCGAGTGAAAGAGTCAATAAAAGAGCTAACTTTGAGTATATGAATGAATGATAGTTTATGAAAGATGGGTGTCAGGTGATAAGTTATTGACCATGACCCTGCTGAGAACTGAACTTTACAATATTTGATTACAATATTTGACTCCTTATCTGTTAAGTGGGAATACTTTTAAGTAGTGTGGAAGAATAATTTGCAACTATACATATTTGTTCTTACATATGCATTCATTCAGCAAGTGTTTCTTAAGTGCCTAGTGTGTGCCAGGCTTGGTTCTAGGTCCCAGGCATACAACAATGTCCATTTTAGGCATTTCTTTCTAAAAGCCATCTTTATAGTGATAGTCTTCAGTGAGGAAAAAGTGCTGATAGAGCCTTGATCCTAAGTGCAAATGCAAACATAATACCATTAGTTATTGACTGGCTCTAATTTTTAAAAGCTTTTCTTTGGGCAAAGAACTTTTTCGAGTTGCTTTTTCTTATTTTTAGCCAGTAACATTTAGTTTGGTAGCAGAACATTTAAGTACTTAAGGAAAAAAAGAATAGGCCGACACAGGATGCCAGGGTGGCTCAGGGGGTTAAGTGTCTACCTTCCACTCAGGTCATGATCCCAGGGTCCTGGGATTGAGCCCCACATCAGACTCCTTGCTCAGTGGGGATCCTGGTTCTCCCTCTGCCTGCTGCTACCCCTACTTGTGCTCTCTGACAAATAAATAAAATCTTAAAAAAAAAAAAAAACCCACAATAGGTCGACTTAATATATCTTAGGTAATGGATAAAAAGCTAGATAACCATGCAGATAGTTGACAAGGAGCCTTTCTTCTAATCAAACTGATGATGTCACTGGAGAAAGGTCAGTTGGAACCTGATGTCTGGCAGTTATAGGGAGCTGTGTCTAGGCAGAGGGTACTCAGGAACCACCCTGGCACCCTTAACCCCAAAGCAGCTAGCATCCCATGTCCAGGCCTGGGTACCAGAGACACAGGACATCTTTACAACTACCAGGGTGATCCAAAATGGAGAAAGACAGGCCCCCACAGTTGATGACCCCTGCTTCAGTGAAAGCCATCATCTCAAAGATTGAGGCTGCCCAGCTAACACGGGCTCAGGAGGTAATACTTGAAATGAAGGAGTCACCCTTCTATTGGGATCTGATGTGGAGACTGGGAACTGACCACAGATTGGGGCAAGTATCCAGCTCTGGGCCTTCAGGGGTCCTGGGATCCTTAGTAAGCTGGGTTTGCAGACAGATTAATCCAAAATAGCCATCTCTGAGACTTGGCCTCTGTTGGGCAAACTGAAATCAAACAACCCCCATGAGGCAGGGCACAGGAAGGGAACAGCCTATAAGGAAGACCCAGGATGGCCCTGAGACACATAGTGATAAGTCTTAGCAGGGCAAGAGGAGGGGCCCAGACTTTCTGATTTGGGCCTCTTCTTGGCCACCTGTCAGCATCCTTCACAGTTAGCCCTAGAAGCTTACAGAGAAATGGCCAAAGGCTGAACTCACCCTGCATATGAGTCTCTACTGCAGTTTTTTTTTTTTTTTTTCAATGGGACCCTCTGATCCCAAGGGTTTCTTAGAGCCTCAGTTTTTCAGTCTGTTGCTTCAGGATGCTTATGAGATATCCAGAAGTCCCTAGAAAATTTTAAAATTCTGAAGAAATGCACACACTACATTTGTAGTATTCTCTTCCTTCCTGATCTGGTCTTAATCATCACAGGGACATTAAGAAGAGCTAACATGGGGCGCCTGGGTGGCTCAGTGGGTTAAAACCTCTGCCTTCGGCTCAGGTCATGATCCCAGGGTCCTGGGATCGAGCCCCGCATTGGGCTCTCTGCTTGGCAGGGAGCCTGCTTCCTCCTCTCTGCCTGCCTCTCTGCCTACTTGTGATCTCTGTCTGTCAAATAAATAAATAAATAAATAAATAAGAGCTAACACTTATTTTATGTGGCAGGCACTGTCCTAAGTGCTTTACAAATATTAATTCATTTAATCTTTACAAAAACTTGGTGACATCAGTACCCTAACAATCCCCAGTTTACAAGTAAGGACACGGAGGCCCCAAGAGGTGAACTGACTTGTCTGAGATCACCCCTTCCAGGCCATGGTGTCCGGCACTGGACTTCACACCCCTAAATCTGCTGCCTCCCATGTAGGATATTTCCTCCCAGCTCTCCGACATCTTGGACAATGTCAACTGTGTCATCAACCGCTTCCAGGAAGAACTAGGATATGATTTAAAAGAAAAGGCAAAATCTGACCGGACAGAGCGAAAGGGCAAGAACAGATTCATCTTGCTGGAGAAAATTGCCTCCTTCTCCGAAGACGCTAAGACCAAAGAGAAGCACTTGTACGAAATTCTTCGCTGGCTGGGTGACTGGGGTGAGTTTGTGGACCGGGTGCCTGGGGGCAGGCTCCTTCCCCGCTGGACACTGGTCCCACCCTCACTCCCATCTCCTCCTTACCCCACCCCAGGTGGGCTCTGGTGGGGCAGCAGGCACAGCACCTCTCTACTGAAACCTTCCCCTGCTCCCGTCACAGCAATCATGTCTACCCAGACAGACAAATGTGTGACTGTCCAGAACATAGTAGATTGTGACATTAGCTGCATGGGTGATGAAGCTAAGTCACAGGTCTGTGGTGACATCTCTCTTTTTTTTTTTTTTAATTAACACATAATGTATTATTTGCTTCAGGGGTACAGGTCTGTGAATCATCAGTCTTTCACAATTCACAGCACTGACCATGGCACATACTCTTCCCAATTTCCATCACCCAGCCACCCCATCCCTCCCCCCTCCCCCCTGCAACCCTCAGTTTGTTTCATGAGATTAAGAGTCTCTTATGGTTTGTCTTCCCTCCCCGGTTCCATCTTGTTTCATTTTTCCCTCCCTATCCCCCATGTCCCCCTGCCCTGCCTCTCAAATTCCTCATATCAGAGAGATCATATGATAACTGTCTTTCTCTGATTGACTTATTTCACTCTGCGTAATACTTCTAGTTCCATCCACCTCGTTGCAAATGGCAAGATTTCAGGTTTTTGATGGCTGCATGTACTCCATTGTGTGTGTATGTGTGTGTGTGTGTATGTATATATCTATATCTATATATATATATATGCCATATTTTCTTTATCCATTCATCTGTTGATGGGCATCTAGGCTCTTTCCATAGTTTGGCTATTGTGGACATTGTTGCTATAAACATTCAGGTGCACGTGCACCTTCGGATCAGTACGTTTGTACCTTTAGGGTAAATACCCAGTAGTGCGATCACTGGGTCATAGGGTAGCTCTATCTTCAACTCTTTGAGGAACCTCCATGCTGTTTTCCAGAGTGGCTGCACCAGCTTGCATTCTCCCCAACAGTGTAGGAGGGTTCCCCTTTCTCTGAATCCTCGCCAACATCTGTTGTTTCCTGACTGGTTAATTTTAGCCATTCTGACTGGTGTGAGGTGGTATCTCACTGTGGTTTTGATTTGCATTTCCCTGATGCCGAGTGATGTGGAGCACTTTTTCATGTGTCTGTTGGCCATGTGGATGTCTTCTTTGCAGAAATGTCTGTTCATGACATCTCATTTTTTTACCAAGGTTGAAATTAAATTCAAGCCCATGCTCTTTTATTTTTTTATTTGTATTTTTCCCAGATTTATTGAGATTTAATTGATAAATAACATTGTGTAATTTAGAATGTACACTGCCGTGATTTGATAGATGTATATGTTGTGCGGTGCTTGTCACAATCAGGTTAGTTAACACATTCATCGTCTCACAAGACTACCCTTTTTTTTCTGCTGAGAACATTTAAGATCTATTCTCTTAGTAAATTACAAGCATACAATATGGCATTGTTAGCACAGTCACCACACTGTATATTAGACCCCCCAGAACTTTTTTATGACTGAAACTTTGTACCCTTTGGCCAACACCTCCCCATTGCCCCCCCCCCCCCCCCGACCCTGGTAACCACCATCTACTGTCGGTTTCTGTGAGTTCAGCTTTTTAGATTCCACATGGAAGTGAAATAACACAGTGTTTGTCTCTCTCTGTCCGACTTACTTCATTTGGCCTAATACCCTCAAATTTCATCCATGTTGTGACAAATGGCAGGATTTCCCTTGTTATGATGGAATAATATTTCATTGCATGAAGGGGACACCTGGCTGGCTCAGGTGGAGGAACATAGGACTCTTGACCTCAGGGTCGTGAGTTCAAGCCCCACATTAGGGGTAGAGATTACTTAAATAAACTAAAAAATATATATATTTCATTGTGTATACCACGTTTTCTTTAACCATTCATTGATCAGCTGACACTTAGCTTGGTTTTATGTCTCGGCTCTTATGGATAATGCTTCAGTGAACCTGGGCATACAGATGTCTCTTGGAGGTAGTGCTTCCGTTCCCTTTGGACATATACCCAGAAGTGGGATTGCAGGATCATATGGTAATTGTATTTTTTTCAAAGATTTTATTTATTTATTTGAGAGATAGAGAGAATGAGAGCCAGCAAGCATGAGAGGGGGAAGGTGAGAGGGAGAAGCAGACTCCCTGGTGAGCCGGGAGCCCAATGCAGGACTTGATCCTGGAACTTCAGGATCATGACCTAGGCTGAAGCCAGTTGCTCAACCAACTGAGCTACTGAGGTCCCTGTTTTAATTTTTAGATTAAATACTGTTTTCCAAAATGGTGGTACCAACTTACATTCCCACCAACAGCGCAAAAGGGTCCCCTTTTTCCACATCCTCACCAACACTTGTTATCTCTAGTCTTTTTCATGATAGCTGTCCTATCAGGTATGAGGTAATATCTCCTTGTGGTTTTAATTTGTGCTTCCCTGACGATGAGTAGTGTTGAGCCCCTTTTCATGTACCTGTTGGCCATTTGTGGGTCTTTAGAAAAATGTCTATTCAGATCTTTTGCCTTTTTTTCTTTCATATACGTATTTAATCATAGGGTTGAGAGGAATCATAAATACAACCTGGCTCTACATTGTTAATATGACAAGTAACAAAAGAAGTGTGTCCAAATTGGTGTCATTTTAAAGTTGTCATCTCTAATGTTAGTGTGCCCTCAATATCTCTCAGGATACTTATTTTAATAATTGTCTGGTGCTGTTGGCCTCCTGCCCTCCCTCCCTTCAGGGCCACGGACCATTGTCACTTTCACTAAAGCTCCTTTTCAACTTCAGGAGTCACCATACCCCTGTGGTTAAAATTACTGGCTGTGGGGAAGCTGTGAGTCTGTCTCTACCATTTAGGAGATGTATGAACTTAGGCAAGCCATTTGATTTTTCTGCACGGCTGGTTCCTCATCTCTGGAATAGTTGGTCCTGCCCCAGCCAGGTCCACACTGACACATGGCTTGGACACATTTATCAGCACAACGGGGGATACACATTTGCCTGCTTTCCTCAACACCAGGACAACTCTGAAAGTAACCACCAGTAGGTAGTTTTCTCCCCAAGTCGAAAGGCTGTTTGATCACTGATTCTGTGCCATTTACACTTAAACCAGTTCAGAACGTGTTGGAGGTTGGAGCTAGTGCAGAAAATTTTATCAAAAGGATATGGGTATGACTTTTGTGTAGCCACAGATTGGCTATGGTTGGGCAATTAAGTTGTTGTCACTTTTCAGGGGGCCACTTTCTGGAAGCTCGGTGCTCACATGAAAGGAAAGCTTTCTGAGAACAGGCCAGCCTCCTTTGTTCTTTTTTTTTTTTTTTAAAGATTTTATTTATTTATTTATTTATTTGTCAGAGAGAGAGAGAGAGAGAGAGCGTGCACGTGCACAAGCAGGCGGAGTGGCAGACAGAGTGGCAGGCAGAGGCAGAGAGAGAAGCAGGCTCCCGGCAGAGCAAGTAGTCCGAGGCGGGACTCGATCCCAGGACACTGGGATCATGACCTAAGCCGAAAGCAGTGGCCCAACTGACTGAGCCACCCGGGGTTCCCTCTCCTTTGGTCTTTATCATAGCTTCTGTGTGGCCTTTGCCCCGCTTTTTTTAAATTGGATTATTTGTTTTGTTGGCTCTTGAGTTGTATGAGCTCCTTCTTTTGGATATTTTCCCCTTATCAGATAGACCTGTTTGCAAATACTTCCTCCCATTCTGTAGATTGCCTTTATCATTTTTTTTTTAAGATTTTACTTACTTATTTGACAGAGATCACAAGTAGGCAGAAAGGTGGGGGGTGGGGTAGCAGGTGCCCCGCCAAGCAGAGAGCCTGACGAGGGTCTCAATCCTAGGACCCCGAGGTCATGACCTGAGCTGAAGGCAGAAGCTTTAACCCACTGAGCCACCCAGGCGCCCCATCATTTTGTTTTGTTGATGGTTCCTTTTACTGTGCAGAAACTTTTTAGTTTGATGTAGTCCCCCTTGTTTATGTTTGCTTCTTTTTTCTCTGCTTTTGGTGTCATAGCTACAAAATCATTGCCAGGACCAATGTCAAGAAGCTTTTCCCCTATGTTTTCTTCTAAGAGTTTTATGGTTTCAGGTCTTACATTTAAGTCTTTCATCCACTTCAAGTTAATTTTTGTGAGTGGTGTAAGATAGGGGTCCAATTTACATGAATGTCCAGGTTTACCAACATCACTCATTGAGGAGCCATCCTTCACCCACTGCGTATTCTTGCCCTGTTTGTCAAATATTAGTTGCCCATGAATGCAAGGGCTTATTTCTGGGTTTTTTATTCTATTCCACTTGTCCCTGTATTTCTTTTTATGCCAATACCATATTGTCTTGATTACTATAGCTTTGTAGCACAGTTTGAAATCAGATAGTATGACACCCCCAGCTTTGTTCTTTTTCTCAAGATCACTCTGGCTGTTTGGGGCCTTTTGTGGTTCTCTGTGAATTTTAGGATTGTTTTTTCTGTTTCTGTGAGAAATGCTGTTGGCATTTTGTTAGAGATTTCACTGAATCTGTAGACGGCTCTAAGACGGTTGTATGGATATTTTAAACCATATTGTTTTCCAATCCATGAATATGGAGTACCTTTCCATTTATATGTGTCTTCTTCAATTTCTTCTATCAACATCTTACAGTTTATAGTGTGGAGATCCTTTACCTCCCTGGTTAAATTTATTCCTAAGTATATTATTATTTTTGATGCTGTTGTAAAGGGGATTATTTTTTTTCTTTTTCAGATAGTTTATTGTTAGCATATAGAAATGCAACTGATTTTTAAAGAGACCTTTACTGGTATTTATTTTGAGAGTGAGAGAATGCACATGCATGCATGCAGTTGGGGAGAGGGGCAGAGGGAGGGGGGAGAGAGAATCCCCAGCAGGCTCCACACCATGTGGAGCCTGATGGTGGCCTCTATCCCACAACCCTGAGATCATGACCTGAGCCAAAATCAAGAGTCGGTTGCTTAAGTGACTAAGCCACCCAGGTGCCCCGAAATGCAACAGACTTTTGTATGTTGATTTTGTATCCTGCAACTTTACCGAATTTGTTTATTAGTTCTAACAGGTTTTTTTTGTTTGTTTTTTTTTTGTTTTGTGGAACACACCAGGTAGTTTATAGGTGATATTCAAAGTACTTAATGACCCTTACTTCATGGGCGCTGGGCCAAACAGCACCGATGCCAGCTGTAAACAATTGGTATAGCCACTTGAATGTGGACCATCTAGACGCAGCCCTAGAGCTAGTGCTACCCGCATTAAGATCAGAGTTATGCCTTCACAAGACCTTCTTCTGCCATGAGGTTGGGCAGATGCTGCAGTGTTGGCGTAAGGTGGTATAGGGATGGGCCCCATGCCCTTCACACTGCCTGCCCCCAAGGAGCTCTCAGTTCTGTGGTCCTTCAGCTCCCTCCAAGATCTAAGCAGAGTTGTTCACTCCAGTTAATTCATTTAATTGTCCAGATACCAGACTAGGCAAAGGAGGTATAGAGCAAACCAAGACAGACACATCCCTTGGCTTATAGTTAAACAACAACACAGTTTAACATTTATTGCATATTTTCTACATAGCAGGCTTCCTGTTAATCACTTCACATGTATTAGCTCATTTAATTTCCATCCAGCCCTCTCACAGGCATGTATGCTGAGGCTTGGAGAAATCAGTAACTTACCCAACATCACACAGCTAGTAATAGGTGAATCGAATCCAACCTCAAAGCCTGCTGGTGTAACCCCCATGCTGTGGGACTCCTTAGGGCTCCCTAGAGGACAGATTGCACTCAGCCTGTACCCCCCACTCCATTTACAGGTGACAGTCTCACCTATGAGCTCAGGAACAGGAAGGGTAAGGAGGAAGAGAAAGCTCTGGATGAATGGATTGAGGTGATGGAGAAGGTGTTACCTCTGTCCCTCATTGCCACCAAAGGAGGCATCGAGTCTCTCATTTCCCTCTGCTCTACTCTCATTGAAAGACAAAAGAAAGGGACACAAAGTAGGTTGCAGGCATGGGGGGCAAGGGGGATTGGTGGGGTGGATGCCATCTCAGAGGAAAAAGTCTCATACTGGGGTCTATGGGGGTCTTTCTGACTCTTCTTCATTAACAAAAGCCTTATCTGAGATGGAGGGGCAGTACTGAGGGGTTGGGCTATTGAACCCAAATTGAGCACTGAGCAGATCTGAGCTGTGGAGGGAGGAGTAATGTGAAGACATGTCCCTGCTGGTGCTTGCTGGGGCTGTAGCTTCATGGAGGTCCTAGGAGATCAAGGCTAATAAGCCAGAAAGGCTGGATGGAGTATGTAGCTGGATCCCAAAGAACATCCCTTCCTTACTCCAAATCCAGCTGCAGAGCCAAGAAATCTGGTGAGACTCAGCCAGAGGCCCTTCCAGAACCTTCTCAACTGTGGCTGCTCCAGAAATGGTCAATCAACAACATGGCTCAACCTTGAAATTCTACTCGTATCAGCCCTAGAAGGGACCTGAGATTATTTACTCCTCCTACATTTTGTTTTCCTTTTTAAAGATTATTTATTTATTTATTTGACAGGCAGGGAGAGTGGGAGAGGGAGAAGCAGGCTTCCCGCAGAGCAGGAAGCCTGATGCGGAGCTTGATCCCAAGACCCTGGAATCATGACCTGAGCCTAAGGCAGATGCTTAACAATTGAGCCACCCAGGTGCCCCTCCTCCTACATTTTGTAGATGACAACATTAAAGCTCAGAAAAGAGAAAAAAACATAAAACAAAACAAAAAACAAAAAAACTGTGGCAAAACCAGACCCCACACTTGGGTTTTCTGGCTTCTTAATCTTACTCGAGAGCATGGGCTTCACAGTCAGATGAACTTGAGTTTGAATCCCATGTGCCAGTTTCGGGCTGTGTGACTTTGAACAGGTTGTTTCATCTTTGTGAACCTCATTCTTGTCATACACAAAGTGAGGAGTGCACCGCCCACATGCCAGGCTCCACTGGGTCTGAGGCATCTGTCACCATGCTCAGGGCTTAATAAGCAGTAGGTCATGTTAGGGTTTTGTCATTGATTATCATGGCCAGGATCCTTATCAAGCAAGATTGATAGTTGGGGGAGGAAGGAAGCAGGGAAGGGTGTGCAAGGAGACAGTCTCTCCTACAATCCTTAGCACATTATGTCTTGAAATGTAGTTATTTTTATACGCATTTCTCTGCTGGATTATAAACTCCTGGAGGGCAAAGGCTGTGTCCTATTCATTTCTTCTTAGGGATTACTTACTGAGCACTTACTAGGTACCTAGTTCTGTGCTTGCCACTAAACATGCATGATTTAGTGAAGTCCAATGAGTAGATGCTGTGGTGATCCCCATTTTTCAGAAACAGAGGCACTGAGAGGTTAGGGAACTTGCCTAAAGCAAATAGTAAGGATGGGATTCAAGCCCAAGTTATCTGATTCTAGAATTCAACCTCTGAACCATTAGGCCATATGGCCTCTCTGACAATATTAGCTAAGTGCTAGCTTGACTTCAGTGCCACTTAATTTCCATGTACCCTTTAGCCTGTCATCCAAAGTTAGCTAGTGTTTTTTCTGTCAAGTGATGTTTGTCGGATGGACAAGTGAATGGATGCTCCAAGATAATCACTCTCGCAGCCCTACGTACATAGATCAAGGGAATACTGCTAGGACCATGACCTAGTCCTTAGGAGCTGAAGCCTATGAACGGGTTTGAAGAGTGTACGGCCTGTACTTATGTACATTTTCCTGAGAAGGTCCCTGCTTTCATCAAAGTATCAAAAGAGTTCATGACCCCCCAAATGGAAGAAGACATTAGTCATTAAAAAACCCAATGTGTGAACAGTGGCGGAATCATGTGGTAAATTCTCTACACAGTCTAGTGGTGACTGGGAAAGGGAAGCAAAACTTCTCAGGTGATCTGGAATCTAAGTCCCAGGTAGGCTTCCAGAGTTTGGGTAGTTGACAGTAGGGAGCCAAACATGGATACTGAGGGAAGTAGCACGATTAGAAAAGTAAATTTACTCCAGGGAAATATGTAGGATTAGAAATACATTGAATTAGATAGTTTCAGGCCCCATGGGCCCTGCAGGTGCCTTGGAGCTGGCAGACCCCAGTGGGCAAGCTCTGGGCAAGCTCTGAGCCTGACAGAGACCTCTCCTGACAATATCTCCCCTGGTCTCACGTGTCGCCTCAGCTCCTTATTCTTGCCAAAGGCCTAAGAGGGTTGGATAGGGAATTTGGCCAAGCAGGGTGTAGAGAATCTGTATAATCCGTGGCACCCACGGAAGTTTATTGCTTTTGTTCTCTCCACCTCTCCTAGTACCCAAACACACCTTCTGGCAGGGCTGGTGGGAACAAAGCCCCCCGAGATCTGCATCCTACCCTCAGCCACTGAGCCCAGAGCAGATGCTCCAGGACAAGCATACTACATGCATGAAGGTCTCTGAGGTGATGTCCATGCTGCAGGAGCTCCTGGACTCCACCATGTTCAACCAGGGAGAGATCAGAGCCATCAGGTACATGTCTGCTGTGGTGGAGAACCTCAACAAGGCCTTGACCCTCCAGCACAAAGAGAACAGTAACCTAGAGACCAAATACAGGAACCTGGAAATAGAGATGACCAAAGAACTCAGCAGCCAGAGGCTCTACTTCCAGAATTCCCTCCAAGTTCTACAGAGCAAGAGGGATGCCCTACTAAAGCAGGTGGAAATTCTAGGGGGAAAATACCATGACCTTCTCCTGATAAAGCATACCTTAGAATTCCAGCTGAAGAAGGCTCAGTCTGCTAGAGATCAAGCAGAAGAACCAGCCAAGATCTTGATCGACTTCCTGGGCCCCACTGAGAAAGAGACCCTCTCAAAGAAAGAAAGAGTCATGGAGAAAACCCAGCAGGAGAGGTTGCTTTTGTCACTGCCCCCAGGTTTCATGACCGAAGCCTGGGACAGTGATACTAGGCCTTCAACGTCTCAGGCACTTTCCACCATGACCACACATGCAAGGATTGCCGATGTGTACAGCAGCAAGGACACTGAGTGTCTCCAGCCCATGTTGCTATCCATAGTAGACAACAAGTTTCCTAAGAAATGGGAAGGACTAGCAGCCGAGAGCCCAGGCCACCAAGTCAAAGACCAGAAGGATTTCCAGAAAGCAGCCCAAGAGAAGGAAGGACTCCAAATTAAGTCCCATGTTAGGATGCAGCTGTCCCCAGAGAGCTCTAAGAAGGTGGCCTTGGAGAGCAAGATGGAACACCGGGAAGAAGAACTCAGCTGGGAGAGGCAGAGGCAGCAGTGGCTGGAGGAGGAGGCGATGTGGCTGCAGCGGCAGAAGAAATGGGCCCTGCTGGAGCAGGAGCATCAGGAGAAACTGCAGCAGTGGGAGATGGAGGAGGCGGCGAGGGAGCAGCAGCGGAGGTTGGGCCAGCAGGAGAAGGAGCAAGGGGGCCCACGGAGAGACCTGGAGCGGTCGGGGGAGGACGTGGACAGGGTGATCTTCACGACCACCAGGCGGTGGAAAGACCTGGAGAAGACATCCCTGGCACCTCCCCCAAGCCGGGCCCAGTCTGCTCACCAAGGCAGGAGGCCACGCCAGCCCAGGTCCCCTAATACTCCACAGCCTTCCCCCAGACACCAGAGGAACCTGCGTTCCGCCAAGTCTACCCAGAAACCATGGGCCTCCCAGGTTCCCATGAAGCCCAAGAAATCGGCCTCCTTCCCTGTCACAGGGACATCCATCCAAAAGGTGTCCCGGCCTCCGTTGCATATCTCCCCGGCAGCTCTTAAGGGCAAAGTATACCACATGGATGCAGAGGCCCAGAGGAAGAACCTGCAGCTCCTGAGCAAGGAGGCTGAGCCGGGGCTGCCGCACTCACTGCGCAGCAAGGCGTTGGAGCTCACCACCACCACCATGGAGCTCAGCACACTCCGGCTGCAGTGCCTGTGCCACAGGTACATCCTCTACAGGCGCTTCCAGAGCCTCCGGTAGGTACCCCTGGAGCCCGAGCCCCCCGCCGTGTGTGGGCAGAGTCAACACCTAAATAGAGAGGAGGAGCACAGGGTGAATGGGGATGGAGAGGTCCCCCCAGACAAGGTCCCCTGAAGGAGGGGACTGACAAAGGGTGTCTGGCCTTGGGGCCTTGACAGATCAGGAAATTGCTTTTCCTCCAAGCCCGCTCCCTTATTTCTTCATCTCTTCCCTTCACCCTGTCCCTAATGCACCTACTATGCTCCCCGGCCTGCCTTACTCTCTCTCTCTGTTTCCAGCCAGGCCCCATGGCTCCTCACCTCCCACCACCTTGCACTTCTCTGTCTCCTGCTTTCCTTGGCTTTCAACAGCCTCTGTTGCTCTCCTTGCTGTCAGCATCTACAACACAGAGTCCTCTCTGCTTAACAGACTTGGGGGAGTGGGAAGCCCTTTCACCCACAAAGTCACTTCCCTCGTCTCCCAGACAGGAAGTGACTGACCACATACAAGTCCTGCGGGAAACTGGGACTGCCTACAAGGCCCAGAACCTCTACATCTTCCTGAATAACATCGACCACCTGCAGAACCTCTGGCTGCAGGCCTGGGCAGACAAGCAGAAGGACCTGGAGGAGAAGCGCCGAGAGTGTCTGAGCAGCATGGCGACCATGTTCCCCAAGGTGGGCCTCCCCTGCCAGAAGTCAGCGCCATCAGGAGGGCCAGGGCCAGGAAGTGAGCCAGTGGGGCTCTGGAGTAGAACTGGGGAGCAGGCAGCTGAAAGGAACTAGGAGGGCAGGTGAGGGCCTCTGAGGCAAGAAGAGGCGAAGGCTGGAAGCACCTGAGTGGGAGGAAGGGCAACTTTCCAGTTTCCATATATGGGGGAGGCTGGGAGAGAGAGGCCCTCAGAATAAGCTGTAGAAAAAGGACTGTTGGGGAGAGGGGAGGCAGCTGGACCCTGCAGTCCCAGCTTTGTGCCCAAGTTCTCCCTCCCTCATGGGTCCCTCCGCCCTGCTCCTATGGGTTCTACTTGCTCTTCCGGCTTGGTCACAGCTGTCTTTGGCACCCACATGCCCCGGTCTCACTCTGCTACTCTCTGGGGACAGCTCCCTTGGCTTCCAGATACCAGGTCTCTTCCCATCACTTCCTGCTCAAGGTTCCTGACAGGTAAAATCACTGAGACCCTGGTTGAAAATGTCTTCACTCAGTCCCTTCACTCCGAATGGACAGTTTGTCTGGAGACAGAAGTCTAGGTTAGAATTATTTTCCTTCTCAATTTTAACAGCTCTGCTCATAGCCTTCTGGGTTTTGGTGTTGCCGTTGACAGTACAAAGTCTTTTTGAGGCCTGACCTGTGCGTTTGACCCGTTTATACTCTCTAGGGGCCAGCTTCGGTTTCCCCTGCTAGCAGGCTCAGAGAAGCAGCGAGTGTTGACGTGGTCCACAGGGGGCTAGCTGACAGTTTGGGGGGGATTGGGAAATCACAGCATTGGCTCAGAACCCACAGGGAGTCCTCCCTAGGGTTGAGCCAAGAGGGCGATTTGAGTTTGGGGGAAGCTGTGTGCAGAGGCACACAGCATAAGTGCTGACACTGAGCAGTTGGAGGAGGCTTGGCCGTGGGGCAGTCCTCTCAACTCAGTTTCCTACCACTTTCCTCTAGCCCTGATCATCTGCTATAGGTAGCTTGACTTGCTACATTGGTTTTGAGGCTGAGAAGGAAGGGGACAGGGAGGGTTCCCTCACTCCTCACGCAATGCCAAGGCAGGGGCCGAAGAAAAAGACACCCAGAGCATTCTAGGCACAACTCAGCCTCACGTCATGAGCACTGCGTGCTGTTTTGAGCTCCTGTTGCTCTGGCTTCCTGTAGTTTTTTCCTTGCTCAAGTTTTGGGACACTGAGGTGGCTCAGTTGTTAAGCATCTGCCTTTGGGTCTGGTCATGATCCCAGGGTCCTGGGATCGAGTCCCACATGGGGTTCCCTGCTCAATGGGGAGTCTGCTTCTGCCTCTCCCACTCCCACTGCTTGTGTTCCCTCTCTGGCTGTGTCTCCTCTCTCTGTCAAATAAATAAATAAAATCTTTAAAAAATTTTTTCAAGGAGTTTTTAGGAAATTTGATACTCGGGGGTCCCAGGAGTCTCTGATTGGAGGGATTCCCTGGGGCTTACCTTCTCTTCTCAGCCCCAAGTCAGGCTGTGCTCTGGAGAGGGGATGAATTCCTGTCTCTGTGACGCCTCTCTGCTGGTTCCTCTAGCTCCAGCTGGAGTGGAACATCCATTTGCACACTCCCATGATCACCAACCCAAAGTCCAGGAAAAACAAGCCACCCCCATCCTTTCTCCGGCGCATCCACTCCTGCGGCCCCTTCAGCAGGCAGTCCCCAGAGCACTTCACACCCAAGCACTGGGAATGTGCTCCCCTGCGCTGGGCCCGGTAGGTGACGGGCAGCCCGAGGGATGGGTGGGGGTACTGGGAGCAAGAGTGGGGATGGCCAGACTGGGGAGACTGGCAGCTTGGTGAGGACAAAGACAGGCCAAGCTCACCTCATGAGTTGCAAGATGCCTGCCTTCTCAGCCACCCTGCTTGACTCTGCCCATTGGCTCACAAGCCCGTGCGTGTGCGTGCGTGCGTGCGTGTGTGTGTGTGTGTGTGTGTGATGACGACAAGACGTGGGCTTCAGAAGCCAGCCAGGTCAAGTAGGTTTCAAATTGCAACTGAGCATTGCTGGTCGTGTGTGTGTGTGTGTGTGTGTGTGTGTGTGTGTGATGACGACAAGACGTGGGCTTCAGAAGCCAGCCAGGTCAAGTAGGTTTCAAATTGCAACTGAGCATTATTGGTCCAGCACCTGCTATTGATCTGTCTGTATAAACAGACCTGATCCTTCCCACCATGTAACCTCCAGGCTCAGAAAGAGATACCATGAGGGGCGCCTGGTTGGCTCAGTGGGTTAAGCCTCTGCCTTCGGCTCAGGTCATGATCTCAGGGTTCTGGGATCGAGCCCCGCATCAGGCTCTGTGCTCAGCAGGGAGCCTGCTTCCCCCTCTTTCTCTGCCTGCCTCTCTGCCTACTTGTGATCTCTCTCTCTCTGTCAAATAAATAAATAATATATTTTTTAAAAAAAAGAGAGATACCATGAGCTTCTGGGGGGGGCGGTCAAGAACACACACATCCTCCCCTGGGTGGGACATCCCTGGGACACATGCCTAGAAGAACAGAGGCCATCCTAGCGCCCCTCCAGCTGCCCCTCAGCCAAAGAAGCCCCAGGGAGATGAGGCTTAGGGTCAAGGGGAAGCGAGGTGACAGGACGGTGGTGACAACTATTTGAGAGGGCAAGAAAACAAGACCCAATGTTTTGGGCCTTACGGATTTGGGGAGCTTATTGTTTTTTGATCTCCTTCTGTGTATCTAACTTTTTTGTCTCTTTTCTATGCTTTTGACCTCCATACCCCAGCCAGCAGGAGAACCAGATGGAAGCCATCTGGAGAACTGATGTGGCCTCCTCCAGTCACCCAGTAGAAAAGAGGACTCCCCCCCAGCCTGCCCTGGGACCAGCTTGGAGGGTGCCCTGACATTCCCCGGCTGTTGGCCTTGGATGTGCCTTCCTCCTATCGGAGAAGCTTACAGTCCCTCAAGACCTGGTAAGGTGTAAGCCTAGACAGTTAATCTGGATTTGGGGAGACCTTCTCACCAAGGCCAGGGACCAGAGTACACACCGTCTCAGACCAACAACCCAAGAGATCACTTTGCCGACATTCATAACGACCTCATTTATCACACCAGATCAGACAGAGACGCTCAGCCGCCTCACCGGCCATCAGCTTGGGTCCCCACGCCACCATTCCAGTTCTCTCACAGGACTTCATGTAGTATCTCAGAAGATCACTATGCAAGTCTTAACTGCCCACTTGTTGCCTGAGCTGCCATGTGTTTCCTGATTTGGCTTAGGAGGTGAATTCTGCCCTATACTGGGGAGGGGGGTCGTTCTCATTGAGAGAACCAGGTGCAGGAATGGAGAGATGAGGGAGACCAAGAATCCTGTGATGAACCTGACACTCGGGCCTGGGCCTGTCTTTGGCATTCTCATTTCCTTACTGCCTTCGAGAATTGTTCCCAGGAAGAACTGTTGAGGGGAAGGGGCAGGACTCAGTGGGCCGACAGGAGGCTTTTCTAGTTAGGGAGCCTCCACACTCCTTTGGCTCTCCAGGCTTGAAGATGTCACTGTTGAAGACTCAAGGCTCTTTCAAGGAGCCTTTTTAGATGTTTGGAGACAATCGCAGCTGCCCCTTGTGGCCCTGACCCTGCCCCAATTATAGATCTTTGACAGGGAGAGGGCACTGAGGCCTGCTAGTCTAGATCTAACCAGAACCAAGGCTATAGGATGCTGCTACTGCCCTGCCCTCCAGACGGGGACTTAGGGAAGAGAGGATGACATGATAAGATCAAACAAGGCTGGCCCTTGGCTCTGAAGCAGGCCCAAGGGTCCCAGATGGTACACAGACACCTGGCTTCCAGTTCCTGGAGAGTGGCTAAGAGATATGTGTGTGTCCGTATGTGTGTATGTTGTTAGCTGAGTTGGAAAGGGCAAACGGAATTAATTGAACGTAACCAAAACAACACTGTGGCGGAACTCAGGAAACCTGAGGTCAGCTGGGGCCCCGCTCCGCTAAGATTTGGCTAAACTTGCCCAAGGCCCCCCATAGTAGAGTCTCTTCTCCCCGAGCTCCTCCTCTCTCTGCATCCCTGCCAGGGCCCGGGCTTGGCTTGGCATCTGCTTGAATCTCAGGCCTTTGTTCTTCCCCCACACATAAATATGTGTGACTATCAAGAATACACACTGCACTTGACCCTTGAAAATTTACGAAGTGGGTGGGAGGATGATGGGGAAAGGGCTTCTCCGAGAACAGCACCGAACGACAGCCTCCTTTCTCACCCTCTCTGGCATAACATGCAGAACTCATTCCTTCCTGTCTCCTGCAGAGCTGTTCCACCCACACCCAGGCCTCCACTGGGATCTCAGCTTCAGGCTTACGCACTTATCAAAATATTGTTCCCGGCAAAGACAGCTTCCCCTTTCCAGGGGAATTTAAGTGAATACAATTTTCTTCCCCCCCTTTCTTAATTCGATACAACTCTGTTCAGTGCATCATACTATCAGGTGTAGAGGCAAAGCCCTGCTGCTTCTGTCTTCTTGCTCCGCATCCCAGGTGGGTGTCTCTTCCTTGCATGTCAGGCTGGTCCGGAATGGTTCAGTGCGGGGGCTCCCCACGTTGTCTTGGGACCCGTTATTGTGGCGTGGGAATCGGCCACTCTCTAATGAAAGTTCTCAGCCGCTTGCCCGGGCTACTGCTGCCTGAGGGTATGGCGGGGGTTGGCTGTGCTGCTTTCTTTGCAAGGGCTCCTTGCGTGGAGACACACTCCGCTTTCACTCCTACTAGAGGGTACCTTCTCTCTGGCCACCTGCCCCTGGCTCACCAAGGATCCTCAGATCCAGCTGCGGTGTGGTCCCAGGTCACTCATTTCTTAGTGTTCCTGTCACCCTCAGCAGCTCCCCGGGCCCAGGTCACAGCACCATCTAGTCTCCTAAGTAGGGACAGGCTGCACACCGCCTTCCCCATTCTCCTGTCCGTGGTGGACAGCCTGTCTCATCTACAGGCCCCTGGGGTGTCCCCTTAGAACACGGGGAAAGGCTCTTCATCGTCCCTCCATGGGTTGGGACACTAGAAAGGACCTGTCCCTCAAAAACCAGCAGACCCCCTCCACCAAGAGCTGGCTCTGCCTTGTCTTGTAAACCTCTCCCTTGGGCTTCCTGTCTGACAGGTGAGATCACTGAGTGCCCGCACGCACCAAACACTGTCTACTGTGGCAGAAGAATCACAAGGCTGATTCTAAGTGCTCTGTCCTCCTCAGCTCGCGGACTATTCCCGCGCCGCCCAAGCTCAGTGGTTCACGTGCTCTGCCAAGGTGTAGCGAGCACAGATGCACACAGACCTCCACCCTGCTGCAGACGGACTGATGGACTGACGAGAGGGCTTGTAACTGTTTCTGGGGAAGGAGATGAGCAAGCAGGGAGTGGCAAGGAAGGAACCTGGATGGAGAGGAAAGAGCAGGGGAGGATGAGGGGAGGGAAGAGGAAGTACCCTGTGATGTGAGACAAGAGGTAGAGCCCCTAGGATGTGGCACAAGTGTTACGGTGAGCAGTTCCACATCGGGATCCAGGCTGGGTGATGCCCTGGACTGTCTCCCAGAGGCCACGAGGGAAGCTCTTGGGTGGGCTGGATGGGCTGGGTGACCTCTCAGCTGCTCTCCAACCCAAAATTGAATTGACTTTTTCAGTGCCTTGGTGGCTGACAGAAAGGAACACCAGGAAGCCCCAGATGAGTCAGCTGAGCTTGCTTGTAAGAAGTCCAATGAGTCCTTTCCTGGAACTCTAAAAAGCCAGAAGGATAGAGATGATCTCAGTCCCCACTCCATCCCTTAGTCAGTGATTCTCAAACTTCAGGGTGACTAAACATCACATGGAAACTTGTTTCAAAGGCAGGTTCCAGCTGGTGTTTTTACACAAACATCCTGGGTATCGCTAAGTAGTCCTAGAACTTTGAGAAACACTACTTTCCTCCTTCAGTCACCAAACTGTACATTTTTAAATAAAATAGCGGTGTGTTTATTTTTAAACATTTCTGTGTTGTTGCTGAAAACCCACCCCTCCCCAACTCATTTCCCCAGCCAGCTCATGACCACCCAGCCCCTGACCTGGAGATGCCCATCGGGGCGCTTTCCCCAAGAAGTGTCTCTACCCTTTGGGAGCCAACAAGCTGAGAAGGCCACGATTAGTGCCTGGCAGACACCGGTAACTTTTTACTGAATCACAGTCCTGGACAGATAAGTAACTGTTGTGCTGATAATTAGCGGGAAAGCTCAGAAGTTAAGAACAAAAGCTGATATCAAGTACCAGTCAAGGCCAAGTGTCATTGGTGGGGGAGGCAGAGGCGTGTAGATCTCTGAGGAGTGAGGGCTCAAGGGAAGACAAGGGGACACAAAAGTTCCAGATCTAGATGCTGTGGGCCAAGGCGGCCATCTCTGGAAATTGTCTTCGATGCAGTTACACTACCTTTGTGAGTTCATTCAGCCAACCAGCACCGATGCCTGCCCTGCTCTCCCTGGCACACAGCTGTCTGCCCCATCTTGAACTTGGTCTTCACCTCCCCCTCTTCTCCACTGGCCCAGCTGCACCTTTCCTGACATTGGTCAGGAAATAACCTTGCCCTCAGAGAACCTGTAATCCAGTGATTCTATTTATCAGGAACCGTGCTATCCAGGCTTCCACTCAAGGTCGAGACTCTGGAAGGAAGAAAAGGATATGGGATGTGAACAGCTGGCCTTTTGATGATGTCAGAGTAGAAAATGACTTCTGAGCAATGGCTTAGCACACAGCAAGGATGGAGAGGAAGGTGAGAGGCGTTCCTGATGCAGGTCTCACACAGGACAGCTCGGGCGAACCCTCCACTCCTGGCCTTTCAGGTCCCAGGTTTATTCTTTCTTTGGATGCCTTGCCCCAGTGGTATCCCCCACAATAAAATGCCCTCACGCTAAATGGACTGCTTTATATAATTTGAAAGGATTTATATAACTTTGCTTTGGAAATAACCGGCTAGGAGTTTTTTTAACATGTCGTTGGCTGTGACTCCTCAACGATCTTCATGCATAGGGATGAAATCTAACAAGTTTTGTAAATGTAAGAAGGATATTTTAATACTAAATTTGACAGTGTAATGAAACTGACAGTATTATGTTTTGTCAACAATTGCATATTAATATTTTTACAGACTTTTTGAAGCCAATGACATTTTAAGGGTTTCATACGTTTTTATAGGCTCTTGGCACTGGGCTTAAGGTGCCTAGTGGCTATACCTGGTCTGGTGATGGTGAACTTGGACTTTCTGGACATCCTCTAGCAAGCACTCTGGCAAGCTAGCAGAGTGTCTGCCAGATTCTTCTGCTTTGTTGACGGTTCCATCTCCTTGAAGGCAAAGAAGCTATGGATTGTCCAACGTGGGAAGCCAAGAAGTTTGGACACCAAGGAGAGAGATCTATCTCTGTCTCTCTATGATATATATGGTGTTTTTCGAGTTATGAGGTTTTTGATATGATACACGAGCTTCATTTTTTTTTTTTCAGAGCAAACTTGATGTACGTGGTCAAATAAGATATTACCTCCACCCCCCAAGAAAACTCCAGGAAGCCTGAGGCATGGAAAGGAATACTTCTTGTCATATTTCTTCGAGCCAGATTTAGGGATTGGCCATAGATCTGCTTGTGTGGCCCGTGGCCTTGGGGCCTCCAAGATGACAAGCCAATACTAATGTGGAGAAGGGGACATGAGGAAAGGGCCTGCTTTAACCCCTAAGCACAACCTGCAAGGAGGCACTGGTAAAGTAGAGAGGACAAAAACCTTTTGAAGACAACCCAGCCAAGAGCCAGGGAGCGGAAAGCCGTGCTGGGTCTTGTCTTCCTAGGTCTGGGGAGGCCAACTTGGAAAGTCAGAAAAAGGATGAACATGACTGCATGATTGGAAGAGTTAGCTTCTAAAAAAATAAAAATTAAAAATAAATACAAAAAAGCATGGCTAACATATAACTATCAATTGGGGACTTTGAAATAGCTATATTTACTATAAACAGTCTAGTGGAAATGGTGGACAACATGCTTAACAGGCGGGGAATTTGAGCAAAGAGTAGGAAATTATAAACAAATGGAAAAATGGAAATGCTAGAAGTGAAAACCTTAATAGCAGAAATGAAGAATTCCTTCAACAGAGTTATCCAACAGGACAAAAGCAGAGGGAAAAAAATCTGTGAATGCAGCTAGATCAACAAAAATGAACCAGACTGTCTCCCAAAAAGTAGAAGCAAGCAAACAATTGAGCAAACCCAAAACTAAGCACTAAGACATATGGTACAATGACAACTGGTCTAACCCATATGTAATGGAAGTCCCAGAAGAAGAGGGGAGACCGAATGGGGCAGAAGAAATACTTGAAGAGATGATCACTCAGAATCCCAAATTAATGAAACACAACAAACCACAGATCCAAGAAGCCCAGAGAACCCCAAACAGGATAAATGGAAAGAAAAACATAACAGCATATCACAGTCAAACTGTTGACACCAAAGATTAGGGAACATCTTGAAAATAGCCAAAAAAAAAAAAAAAAAAGAAAGAAAGAAAAGAAAAAGTAGCCAGAAAGATGCGGCGCCTGAATGCTTCAGTCGGTTGAGTTTCTGACTCTTCATTTTGGCTCAGGTCGTGATCTCGGGGTCATGAGATATCCAGTCCGTTGTCTGGCTCTGTGCTCAGTGGAAAGTCTGCTTATGATTCTCTCCCTCGGCCCCCCCACCCCACTAGGGTATTCTCTAGGAAGGAAGGAAGGAAGGGAGGGAGGGAGGAAGGAAAAGGAAAGAAGCCAGAAAGTAAAACAAATTACATAGAAAAACAAGAAACAATCTTATAAGCAACTCAACCAGATGGTTCCTGAGGCCCGGCTGTATCCCTGCTTATAGGTCCACAAGATACCCCAGGAGCATTGCAGGACGTTTCCCCATTTGGAGACTGATAGTAGCTTAGACAGGTTTCTATTACCTGCAAAACACAGTGGGCTGCCAGAGGGCTGCTTCCTGAAGGCACCAGCCCTCCAGTCCCCAGTCTGCAGCCACCATCACTCCCCACCCCATGCCACACCCAGACCCTCCCCTCTTTCCATACACCCCGCCTTGAGCCGGCTGCGGCCATGTCACCCCTCAAAGACTGTTGACTGGCTGTGAACTGAAAAGAGGCAGAGCAGGTGGAAGCCAGACATACTAGTTACTGGCCTCACTGCCCTCAAGGGAGGCCCTGGGATCTGTTGCTTCAAATCCTTTCCTCAAACAGGACCAGCTTGGAACAACCAAAGCCGGAGTCCCGCCGGGACCCCCGTGAGGGCTCTGCAGAGGGCACGGTCATGATCACTGGTGGCCATGTCTGTGAGAGGCGGAGTGTTGCCAGTAATTCAGGGTCGCCATGGGATCAGGGAGAATCAGGTTTCCTCCCCCCCCCAACCCCTGTTCTGAGCGTCCTTGTGTTGGCTTCTGGGGCCTCACTTTCCAGAAGAGAGGTCCTTTCCTAGAGAAGCCACAAGGAGGCGCCAAAGAGCTTGCTTCAGGCCTCAGCTGGCCTGGAGTCAGAGGAGTTGGATTTACAATATGGCAACTGCCCAAAGACACAAGTGAGGCCGGTGGGCTTCCCCTGAGAAGGTGATCGGCTGAGTGCAGAGAGCAAGCGTGGCAAAGGTAGGGGAAAGAGACAAGGGATTCCTGACTCACCTTGCACATCTCGATCCTGCAGACAATTCCTGGTAAAGCCGGAGTCCTCTCCCGCAGTGGGAGAGGAGCCCTCCTGCAGGGTCCTGAGCTCTGCAGTCCCAAGAGCTTTCCTTGCAAATGATTCTTCAGGCAACTGTTTGTTAGGAACTCTGTCGGGAGGCCCTTCGCATAGACTTCCTCAAGCCTGCGACGCGTCCGCATTCATTCATTCATTCATTCAACAGATAACCTATTGGCCACTTACTACTGGGCACGGTTCTAGGCATGAAAGATACAGTTCTGAAGAAAATAGATTTTTTTAAGTGCTTTCATGGAGTCTACATTCCCTTGGGGGAAAACAGACTAGAAATGAAAAATGAATACAATATACTGGATGTTAGAGGGTAAAAGATACCATGGAGAAATATGCGTTTCAAGAGGGTACGGCACGAGAATAAAGGGGTTACCGTTTAAAATAGGTCACATCAGGCCTCACTTAGGTGACAGTGGAGTAGTCTTGAGGAGGTGAGATGCGAGTCGTGGGGTAAGGACAGCATGCTGGGCAAGGGAACAGCCAAGGTGGGAGCATGCCCACCGAACTCAGGCTCCGGCAAGTCTCCAGTGTGGCTGGTACCAGGTGAGGGAAGGGGATAGAAGGAGTGATGAGGGAGAGGTGACAGGGAGAGATCAGCACCCTGCAGGCCACGGGAAGGACTTCTTTTTCACTCTGAGGGAACCGCAGCCATGTTTATTTTGAATGAGATGGGAACCACTGCAGAACTGGGAGCAAACGAGTGACATGATCTGAACCACACTTCAAGGGCATCGCTCTGGTACACCTGAAAATCATATAACATTGTGCATCCACTATACTTCAGTTTGAAAAAAAAAACAGACGGGGCAGGGCGGGGGGGACAAAAGCATCGCTCTGGTTACGGGGACAAGAACAGTGATGGAGGCTGGGAGGGGGAAGCAGGGAGACCAGTCGGAAGCTATTACAATTCCCATCCCATTCCGGGAAAACTTAGTAAGGGAGCTCAAGCTTCCCTCCCCCCAGGAAGCCCCTCCTAATCCTCCCTAAGACCCCCTTTATTTGGGCAGTTGCCTTCACAGAGCTTGCTCTCCCAGCACAGAGGGCTGTGCACACAGAAACCACGTCAGACCCTCCCTGAGGAATGAGGGATCCCGCTCCTCTGTAGTTGCTCGGCCTTCTCTTACCTCAGAGGCTTCTTCTGGGCTGTGGTTCTGCCCGGAGAGCCATATCTTCGTGTCAAATGCTTTACCACTGTAACAGCCCTAATCCGGTTTGTCAGCCACACT